TACACACGATCACCACCACTGTCACGATTATCATAACCACCACAACAATCACGATCTTGTGAGTCTATGTGTGTCTCCGTGTCCCCATGTCCCCTTACCACATAAACGGTTCTCTCATCCTCGTCCTCAGGTTTGGGACCCAGTGGGGATGAGCGACGAATTTTGAGGCCATCACTGCTCACCTGCATCAACATATCACCAATATCAATACATCATATATATCACTACATCATCAACACATGTAGAACCCCACACTCGGTTACATATAGACCCACGAGACCCACAGACTCACAGTGACCCACAAACTCAGTGTGTCTGTATCCCAGATCTCACTGAATACATCTCATATCTTACCTCGAGCTGTGTTGAGGTAGACACAGCTCTTCGGATGATGTTTATATCAGTGGACAGAGTCTTCATCCGATTAAAAGACATGAGCACAGACAGCGGGACGACTGAGACATGGGCACACGAAGACATGGGGGAGGGACACAGACAAGATTAAATTAACATGACTGAAATCAGCACATCCTACTCAGTTTGTCTGCCTGCTCCATCCTATGTATTCCTCCTCTCACCTACCCTTTCCCCCACCCTCCCCACAATGTCAGAATCGGAATCTTTATTTATTCTGCATAAATTCGATGAGCTCCTCCCTGTCTCCTCCTTCCCATGGCAGCTGTTAACGGTTGCCTGGTATGAAGGATGTTGTGGGTTTGATCCCGACCCCGACATCTGTATATTGGAATTAACATGTTCTCACCATGGGCACAAGGATTTTTCTCTGGATCTTCCAGTTTTTCCCTCCACATTTAGAAATATGTTTAGAGTATTTTGATTTAAAGCTTTCGTGACTGCAGTAATTCATATTCTTAGCTCTTTCGGTAAAGTCACGTTGAAGGGAAACAATAAAATAATATTGTTTTATATATATATATTTTTATTATTTTATTGTTTCCCTTCAACGTGACTTTACCGAAAGAGCTAAGAATATGTTTAGAGTATTTGTTTGGCGGTATCAAAATGATGAAAAAGGAATAGGCTTAACCCTTTCCGGCAATAATACAGGAGGTGTTAAGATGATCCCATGAGATGTCTAACACCGGTTGGTGAGACAAGGCCATAAAGGAGGCTGGAGCACCTAGTGTAGGCCAATCAGTTTCAAGGACAATGCATACATTCTTCCTCCCCATGTGCCCTCGTGTGTCCACACGTGCCCTCGTGTCTTCCCATGACTGTCTTACATCCGTCCGGTGACGCGTCAACAACTTGTCTCAGGAATTTGTCTTTGTGTAGATTCGTGTCGCCGAACCAGAACTCAATCTGTCTTCGGATCTCGGACAAGATTTTCCCAAGTCTTGTCCTCTTCTTTGTCTCCTTTGCCTCAGCAGAGACGCACGGGGGACACAGTGTCTCCGTCACCATCTCTGTGTCTCCCTGCAACTCCATAACGGCTTTGTGTCTCCCTGTCTCCAATTGTTGATCTAAAACACAAAATACAATAGAATGTCATCAAGTAAAAAAAAACACGTTATTTGGATGCTTCTTTTTCATAGTATATATGTTGTCTCTTAATTTTGATTCTTAATTACATTATTGTTAGTTGTAATGTTAGGTTAGTAACGCCTTAGTCTGTGCTCTCCAGTTGCCCGAGTTAAAAGTAGTGGGCTTGGTATCGCCCAACCCTGGCCAGGTGGCTCAACAAACGGAGTAAATGAGGCGTACATGACCTTCATCACCAGTGTCACTCCCTGTACGTGGCGGTCTCTGTCTGCCAATGCCTCTGTGAGTGAGGGTTGTTAAAACGACAAACGCTAAACCGGTTACCGTTTTCATATTACGGGTTCCGAAAGTCGGGAAACGTTAACCATTTAGTGAACCGAACAGATTTGGTTCGTCCTGTAACAATAAAGAATATTTTATGTTAATGATTTAGGCCCATATATGGAGTAATTGGGCGTGGCTTTTAACGATACCATGTTTGATCCATGCTTGATCCATGCTCGAGCTTGGATTCATATTCTTGGTTCTTTCGGTAAAGTCACGTAGATAGAAAATAAAAATAATAAAATATAAAAATATAACATTTAAATAATAAAAGCCAAAACCCACGACGTTTTGATCGCAACACAAGCGGTCTTCATCTACCGCCTGATGAAGACCACTTGTGTTGCGAACGAAACGTCGTGGGTTTTTTTGCTTTTATTAGCAGCCCCTTTAATTTCATTTAATTTATAAATTTTTATTTTATTTTCTATCTACGTGACTTTACTGAAAGAACCAAGATTATGAATTCCTGCAGTCACGAAAGTTAAGTCAAAATACAAGCTTGGATATTTTGAATACACATTTTAAAATCGTTAGTCATTCGTGTCACATTATTTATGGATCTAAAGAAACGATTTGTGGATCGAAAAATCCCATATTCGGCAGCCCCTTGATGCTATGTGGCTTCGTAAAGCATTAAGATAAAGTATCATTCATTGTCACAGATAATTTGTTATCCTGTTACAGCGCGATCGTACAAAAACCACGTAGCAACATAGATTGTGCCCTCGTCTCTCAGTTAAGGGTAAACGTTCAACTCTGCAATCGCTTGCTAAAACCACTGTCAGCGGAACAGCTTCTCCTGGAGGGAGCTCTGGATGTAGGCGTACCCACGCTTTACCCCACCGCGAGCGACCCATAAATCCATCGCAGTGCAGAATAAACACAAACTGCGTGTTGTGTGAGAATAGGTTTTCCCCTTTTTTCTGGCAACAAAACAGGTGTTAAGATGTTAAAACTCTAAACTGAAACATTTTACAAGGAATCCTGTCTGCATTAACCACTATACTTGTGGCCGGAATGCAAACAAAAAACGTACTCTGATCATATATGCATTGCCTTTGAAACGGATTGGTCCACACCAGAGACAGCTTTCTTTTGAACCTAGACCAGAGGATGCCAAAAGACGGCTTTTGGATGCCAAAAGACAGCTTTTGGCTTCCTCTGGTCTAACACCGTTTTGAGACTAGGCTCAAAAGAAAGTTGTCTCTGGTGTGGACCAATCAGTTTCAAAGAAAATGCATATATTATCATCGTACGTTTTCTGTTTGCATTCTGACCACAAGTATTGTGATTAATGCAGACATGATTCCTTGTATAAGGTTTCAGTATGGTGTTTTAACATCTTAACACTTGTTTTGTTGCAGAAAAAAGAGGAAAACCTATTCTCATATTCTGGTACTGGCATGATGCGTGTTGTGTGTTTAGTTCAAGGCCGTAGCCATGGAGTCAACATTGGGGGGACCAAATCTTCCAGGGGGTCTGGGGTCCCAACCCAGAAAAAATATCTAAATTTGAAAACGAATTTCCTGCCATTTCCTGCCTAAAATATTAAAAAATGCACTAACACATGGGATGGACTTTGTTATATTGCCTAATAGTGCATTGTATTACATTGCTCTGTTTTTACTTTTTTACCATTTCTTGTTTCACTGCATGTAATGTTTGAGATTAGGGATTAATAAAGTACAACCATAACCACAATCATATACACAGAAATCTATGCACTGATTTATATGAAGACAAGTCCAGATATTATGGCCATGGTTGAGCAAATTGTTTTTATTTACATAGCATAGCAATTGATTACTTTTTATAGCAATATATTGGGGGGGGGGGGGGGTATTTTGAGCATATTTGAATATATAATCACGGCCTTTGTTTAGTTTGTTGCCCTTCCCGCACCACCGATTAGCGCGGTTGGCTACGTACGGCAGCAGATTGAATCAAGCGACCTTGTTGAGCTCAAGATAATCGTCTCTGCGAGGCTATTGAAGTTGTAGCCACCACGGATCATCACTACCACCACCACCAGAGCAAATACATATTGACTTAAAGCTTTCGTGATTGCAGGAAATTCATATTCTTTGGGTCTTTCGGTAAAGTCACGTAGATATAAAAAAATTATAACGATAAAAAATAAAGTGAATGAAAAATTAAAAACATCAGGACGTATCGATCGCAACACAATCGTCATCAGGAGAACAAATATGACGATTGTGTTGCGATCGAAACGTCGTGATATTTTTTTCATTCACTTTACTTTTATTATTTTATTGTTCTTTTTTTCTATCTACCGAAAGACCCAAAGAATTCAAATAAATAAAAAATTTCACCCCGACCCCCCTCACCCTGCCTCCCCTCCTCATGATCCGATCTGCAAATCCCGCAGTGACTCTAGTCGACACCTTGGCTCCATGCGCGGCCTACTCGAAAAATCTACAGTACAGCAACAACTACGGATACGGCACATATGAACTAATTAGAACATTTTCGGCGGGGCAGGGAGTTAAAGTAAATAGTTAAATTTGCGGGTTTAACTTTATATGAGAATAAAAATGTTTAAAAATGTTACCCACGTTGATACACACGACCTGGCGGTTGGTTGGGGTCCTTCAGGTATTCGCCAGAGGTGGTCGCAGGGCTCGTTGTAGTGCCTGAGTAATACTAATTTAATTAACTCGAAAGCGACGTTTTCCTTGAATAAACGGGCATTACGTTGTGATGACACAATTACGTCAGCGCTTACGGTGTATTTCTACCACGTTATGTATCTGGTGTACATATTGTATCATATATAGTCGCGTTATTTGGTAATGTTGCGTCGGCAGTAGTGCACAAACAAAAACACATTTCTAAATAACACCGTGGGCTTAAAAGGAAAAATATATAATAGGCGACGCATTGAGAAATTGCCCTTGTTCATAGCTGATTTAAGATATATCTTTAAAATTAATGACAAAAAGTAATCACAATTCTGGAATTAGCGGCGTTAACGTGATGACGTCACAAAATTGCCCATTTGGGGATTGTAGCTGATGTCATCGCGTTAATGAGCCTACGTAAAATCATGACAAAATGACGTCAGCGCGTATGAATGTTTACACCGGCGTACGTGCGCGATGACGTCATCACGCTGTACCGTATATTTTGTAACGTAATGAGGTCGGCGGCTAAAATGGCAGCAGACGATTGGACAGTTCGCTGAGGCTGCGTTATCACGTTCACACCACCCCCTTTCTTCATTCGCCAATCTCAATAGCGGGAAGTTGTCGCCCTTTACGGGAACTAAAGACAACGGAGACTCGGGGAGACAGTAAAGGAGACAGGGAGGCAGCGGGAGACACGAGGAGACTGATCCCAGCCTTCATCCCACGAGCCTACAACTCGGTAAATAACAACGGACCCTAGAGCAGCCTCAGTCTGGCTCTATGAGCCTCAGTTATTAACACTGAGCCTAATGGGAACCTTAGTCTGGCTCTCTGAGCTTCAGTTATTAACATTGATCCCTATGGGGAGACTTAGTCTGGCTCTGTACGCCTCAATAATTCACCCCAAATCCCGGAATCATAATTCTGGGAAAACGATCCCTTTTCCTGTGCTCTCACATCCGCGAATTAACCCCCCTCCTTACCCCCCCTTATTAAGGTTCTCTTGAGGTTGTTCACTCACTCAGCCACTCATTATTCAGTCACTCGCCCACTAACTCACTCGCCCACTCACCTGCTCACCCATTCACCCGCTCACACGCGCATCTAATCACTCACCAACTCACTTGCCCACTCACCTACTTACCCACCTTAGATACCACTCACTCACCTACTCATCACTCACCCACTCTCATCATCTCTCACCCACTAATTCACTCGTCTATTCACTCGGCTACTCACTAACTCGCTCTCTTTCATCCTACAGGTTATAATGGTCACATGACGTCTTTCTACAGCCGCCCAAAATGCATCACGCGTGGATATTAATTGTGGTCGCTATTTTACTGATGGAGACAAATTGTCAAGGTATTGGCACTCACTGCTCACACATCCACTCACCCACCCACCACTCACCAAACACCGTCCACTCACCTATTACCACTCACCCATTCGAACAAGCACTCACCCACCTCTCAGGCGTTTACTCACCGCAGTCACACAGAGGCACTGCTCCCCCCCACCCACACGACTCATTCAGCCGCCCACTCCACTGTCTCTACTCCAGGGGTTCTTAACCTGGGGTGCATTTCGCACCCCCTGGGGATCCGAGATGCCCTTTCTGGGGGTGCGAGATATGCCGGATTTTTTTAGTAGGTAAATCATCGAAACAAATTAAGCACAGGCATGTAAGTAAAACTACTGTTGATTTAAAGTTTTCATGACTGCAGGGATTCATATTCTTGGTTCTTTCGGTAAAGTCACGTAGAAGGGAAACAATTAAATAATAAAAATAGGAAACAATAAAATTATCACGACGTTTCGACTGCAACACAAGCAATCATCACCAGGTGTGAAAACCACAGCAAGAAACATTTTTCTTACTTGTGTTGCAGTCGAAACGTCGTGAGAATTTTATTGTTTTACTAGCGGTAAGTACCCGGCGTTGCCCGGGCGAAAAAGGCAGACACACACATGGACTTACAGACATCGACCCACGCACATAGAAACACATCGACTTAGACGCACACACACATATGGTTAAACCCAGGATGGATCGTTACCAGCCCCTCGCACCCGTCCAGAGCCCCCGTTTAGTCACTGTGGTGGACACAGACGCCATGAGGGGAGGAGCCAATCGGAATTGGCCCTTCCCCCACAGCACTGTCCACAACAGAGTTGCCCGTCCGGCACCACGAGGAGGTAGGGGGTTGTTTTGCCGGACTTACACACACACACATATGGACTCACACACGCATAGACATCCACTTTAGATGCACACACATGGAGTTACACACACATACAGAGACTGACACACATTGCCCTACACACACACATACACATATGGACTGTGACACACATTCATCTACTTTAAATACACACACATGGATTAATACACACATATCGACTCAAACACGTATTGACTTACACACACACACATATGGACTTACACACACATGTGGACTAACACACACATCGACTGACACACAAACGCACATTGACTTACACACTCAGATGGAGCCATGCACACACATGAACTAACACACACACAGCGACTGATATGCACACAAATGGACTGACACGCACACTTGGACTGACACACACGCACATTGGGCGTTGTCCGTTCGGAAAAGACACATGGACCTACACGCACAGACATATGGACTCAAACACGCACACATATCGACACACACACGCATTGACTTATACACACACACATCGAGTTACACACACATACACATATATGTACACACACACACATCGACTGACACACATAGACACACAAACGCACATTGACTTACACACTCAGATGGAGCCATGCACACACATGGACTAACACACACAGTGACTGATATGCACACAAATGGACTGACACGCACACTTGGACTGACACACACACAAACACCTGGACGTACACACACACACATTGGGCGTTGTCCGTTCGAAAAAGACACACATGGACCTACACGCACAGACATATGGACTCAAACACGCACACATATCGACACACACACGCATTGACTTATACACACACACATCGAGTTACACACACATATACGTACACACACACATCGACTGACACACAAATTAAAGAGCAGCAGTACGCACAGGTAAGTTGAGAAGCAGGCTACAGTTTAGATTATTGACTGCCAGTACGCCGACTCAATGACATAAGCATTGCTACAGTCAACATAAAAAGCTGCCAATACAGGCAGCAGCTGAAAAAGCAGAATACAGTCGACATGAAAGGCTTGGGAGTACACTGAGTGAGGTAAAGAAGCAGGCAACAGATTATAGACTGGCATACACTCATAATAGTCAAAAGGAAAATTAGCAGTGTAGATAATAGAAGAGGACATGAGACTGAAGAAAAATCCGCAGCGTTATGTGTATATTTATTGCATGTTAAACGCGTAAAATAATGTCCCCCGTGAGCTGGAGCGAACGCGCATCACTTGGCAGGGTCCGCCCCCCCAGGCAATTCTCGTCAGTTGGTACGGTCGATGTTACGCAATAAGTAAATAATTAAAATAAGAATGCCACAAATTTGTTAATTAAAGTACTTTAAAGTTTAGGGATGAGAAAACGGAATAGCCTATTCCCACCCCGGGGCTTAGGACATGCTGCCTGGCAATTTTTTTTGGACGTCAAGCTCACCGTCCGAGAGCCAAATCCCTAGCAAGCACGCACGCACGGAGACTTTTATATATAAGATATTTTTATTATTTTATTGTTTCCCTTCTACGTGACTTTACCGAAAGAACCAAGAATATAAAACTACTTTGTTTTACGAAACCCTATGTATTCACATTTTCCTTTTTTCACGATTGAGAATTAAAGGGGTTGCAGTAAGTAAAGGTTAATAACCACTGGTCTGCTCCTTCCTCTGTACTCTCACACACTCCAATGTACACCCAGGGGCGCAACTCCCGATGACAACGGGAGGGGGGGGGATGTAAGATCCGACTGTGGGCCCCCCTCCTCTCGCCCGACTCACTTTTACTGCAATAGCTACGGATGGTTTTAACCCTGTATAGAATCATAATTTGCAGGCTATAACTGTACTGTATATATTATTTTAGTTGCACCGTGTATTGGGTTTAGAGGAAGACAGCCTGACAGTGACTGTTAATTAAAAACATTTAAAGGTAACAATACTCACAATTAAGTTTTTTGTGCCTCTTGCTTTCATGCGCATGTCATTAAAAAATCCTGCTGTTCTATAACAAAACACCAGCAGTAGCGCAACTACATTAAGTCTCCGGGTTGCGGAAGACCCGACTTACGGAAATCCGACTTTACGGAAATGCTCCTATGAATCATGTTACAAAAATGGGGAAATGTTTGCGTTAGTTACGTAAGCAGAAGTAGTCCAGCATGGTGTGGTTGCAGATGAATACCGCGGAGCGAGGCGTAGGGCGGCTGCCCGCCTTATGCCTCGCTCCACCAAAACACTGCCTTCACCGTGCTCGAGCTTTACCAGGATTATGGTAAATTAAATGTTTTGTTGCGTTGCATAACTGTTTTCTATGCTTAGAACTATCTCCCCACCCCCCCCCCCACATGTTTCTATTGCTAGTTTTATTCATTTAAGTTTATGTCATGAGTTATTTACTGTATATACTTTATTTAACACAATTACACGATTGCTTAATGGTCTCAGCCAACAGCGATGAGAGAAGTCCAGGCCTAGCCTAATGCACGGTAAACAAACATTTGGAAGTGACTGCTTTCTGTTAACAATTAAAATACAAATGTTTCGTGGTATTCATAAACAATTGGATACAACATACTGTATGTTCCATTAGTTTAATAATGGATAGTGTTAGGGTAGATATTCGATTAAATGAAAGAATCGTAGGAAGTGCAGGGCGTATGTACAGCGATAGGATACAGGTAGCGATATAAAACAGACCAAAGGAACGAGTAATCGGGTAGGGGAGGCACAACTATTTTCGGATATGGGACTTTATCTTGATTTTTAGGGAACATTGTTCAGTTTCCAACATACGAAAAATTCGGGTTATGGATTGTTCTCGGGAACAGGGGGTCTCTCCCTGCTCAATGCAGAGCGGTGTTGGCTGAACCCCCGAATGGGCAGATGAGTGAGAGAGCCCAAGGGGTAGCCGAGGGTAGGACCCAAATAGTATTCAGTGTCCGGCGTAAAGGACCCAGATCGAGTGCACCCACACTGGTGTGAGCGTAGGATGTCGTGTCACAGTGATTTAATAAACAACAGCCCTTATAGTAATCCTCGTCTCCGCGTGGTTCTACCGCACAACACTTGCGCCCCTGTGTACACCCACTCTTTAACTTCCTGTGTACCCTCTCCCTATGTGCTCTCTCTGTGCTCTATCTCACATCTCTTTTTCTCGCTCTACCTTCCTTCCCTCTCTTTTTTTCTGTCTGCCCCTCATTTCTCTCTCCTTGGGTCATCTCTCCCCACCATCTCTCTCACCCCCCACCCTGTCCCCCTCCCCACCCTCTCTCCCCTCCTTCTCTCTCCCTGTGTGCCATCAGGTCCAGATTGTGATGTGGAACCACAAGACATCGTGGTTCCTCTGGGCGTCCCCGTCAACGCCACTTGTCTCCTTCGTGTCCCCACCGACCCCGTGTCTCTGCACTGGCAGTTGGGGAGCAAACAAATTCATTCAGAACTCTCGGTGTCCACGCGTCCCGGTACTCTGTCCGTGTCCCTGTCCGGACTGGCTTTGTCTCCTCCAAGTGGACACAATCTGCTGTGCTTCAAGGAAGACAGAATGTGCTACGGGACTGTGGTTTACGTGGGGGGTGAGTGTCCGTCTCTGTGTCCCAGTGTCTCTGTGTCCCAGTATCTCTGTGTGAGTGTATATTAGTTTGAGTGTCTGAGTGTGTGGACCCCTCTAATGGAACATCTTCGGCGGTTAGAAACATTTAGATTAGCCTGCCTACGATCCATCCTGGGTTTAACCAGGCTGGATTGTGTGAGGAGCTCACAAATCCTTGAAAGATCTGGGCAAGGTCCCATCGGTGACCTCCGGCAGTCAAGGCTGCGTTGGCTGGGTCATGTAGCCCGCATGCCCAGCCACCGCATGCTGAAACAGCTTTTGTTCGGCCGGATCAAGGGGGCTAAACGGGCGCGGTCTCGGGCTAGAGAAGAGATGGAGTGATGTGGTACAGGAGGAAGTGGAGCCGAGTGGACTTGCCGATGACTTGTACCAGCGGTGTCAAGATCGGCCTCTGTGGAGGAGGCTCGTGAAGGATGCTACTGGGCAGTTGGAGGCAGTCGCCCTCCAACAACAACGGAGGGCGGAGGAGCGACGCTCACAACAACGAGCGGAGCGCCGGGTGGCTAAAGCACAGCAGGTTGGCACAGTAGGGGGCACAGGTGGTGCATCAGCCAGTCATCTCGGTCAGTCGACCAGTGGCACCTGGTTCTGCCCCGTGACCTGCCAGCGGGTGTTCGACACTTCACGTGGCCTCAAGGTGCACATGGCCTGGCACAAGCGTCGTGGTGACATCACCGCCACTTAGTGGCGAATGGCGGTTATTGTTGTCTGGGTGCGTTTGTGTGTATCTGACTCGGGTGTGATAGGGTAGTGGTTAGCGCGCTGCGCTACAAACCTGGCGACTTGAGTTCGATTCCCGCTTACGGCCACCACCGGTAACAATTATCTGAACCGCTCCTGGGCCTCCCCTAGGTCTTTGAGTGTGTGTGTCTCATCTGTAGGTTGACTCGGCCTCAAATGAGTACCTGGTGCGGTGTGTAAACATCACCACCGGGGAGACAAAGGTGGTCAGGTGTGGTTTTGGCGACCCACCCAGCACTTACCCCAACAGTCTGTTAAGGCTATACCGGGGATCTTTGACTGGCAAAACAACCCCTACCTCCTCGGCGGTTGCCAATCGGTAACTCTGTGGTGGCTGTGAGCTATGCCATCGAGGGGGGGGTGGGGAAGGCCGATACCAATCGGTCGTTCCACTCATGGCGCTCGCAACCACCACAGCCAACGGGGGCTCTGTATGGGTTGCGAGGGGCTGGTGACCTCCTGTCCCAGGTGCTGGCTAAGGTGTTAAATAATCCTCGGAGGTCCTGGAAAGGATCATTCAACATTGTATTTCAAGGTACGCTGAGGAAAGGTTTTGTGGGTCCCCAATGTGCTTTCAAAACGGGTCGGTCCTCTACAAATGCTAGATTTTCTGTTCATCTGCTACAGCAGTGGTGTAGGGAATTTCAGGTGGACCACTATTAAACATCTTTTTTTGACCACGAAGTTTGGGAAGCTTTCCAACAGCAATACCAGAGCAATTTCCATCTGGTACAGATACGATAGAAGACTGTTGGATGTTCCAGGTTGCGGTCAAGGGATGGCTCCCTATTGGTCGACCATTTTATATATGCAGATGATCTCATAATTGCTGCCCACTCTGAGGAGTTTGAGATGCTATTGCTAAATCTGGAGCATGCTAATCAGAGATGGGGCCCTATAACCAGCCCCACAAATGCAAAGCACCTGCCCTGGGTGTTTTATGTCCTCAAATACTCTACCCTCTCCATTCCCCATGAGTGATGGGGCAGTTGGGGAGATAGTTCGAGGAGTTTCCATGACTAGGCAGTGTGCTCATGACCGACTCTGCTTTGGCAGTGGAGATCTCCGAATCAGTCGTGCGGCATCTTTTCATTGGCTGTGTAACGCTCTGTGGAGAGTACCTGGTCTATCCATACAAAGTTCCTGGTCTATCCATACAAAGTTCCAAGTATTCTCAGCCACAGTTGTGCCCTAGCTTCTCAGTGCTTGCAAAACATGGACCCCTTTCAAGGAATATGTGTGCCGGTTCGAAATGTTTAGGGTGGCCAGCCTATGATTCATCCTGGGTTTAACCAGGCTGAATTTTGTGGCAAATGAGAGAGACCGCATTGGCTGGGTCATGTAGCCCTCATGCCCGCCAACTAAACGGAGGCTAAAAGGGCATGGCTCGGGTTGGAAAAGAGATGGACTGATGCGGTAAAGGAGGATGTGTAGCTGAGTGTACTTGGCAATGACCAGCCTCTGTGATGGAGGTTTGTGAAGGACGCTACTGGGCAGTTGGAGGCATTCACCTTCCAACAAAGTGAAGGGCAGAGGAGCGATGCTCAGAACAACAAACAATGCCGGGCGGATAAAATGCAGTGAGGCGGCACAGTGGGGACCATAGGTGCTGCATCTGCCAGTCATCTCAGTCATTCAACCCATGGCACCTGCTGAGTCTGTTCCGTGACCTGTCAGCGAGCCTTTGACACTTCACGTGATAGCCTCAACGTGCATCTAGCCTGACACAATGTAGTGGCTGTGTGTGAGTGAGTACGTATGTGTGTGTCGACTTGGGTAAACTCAGGTTAACTTGACCTTAAATGAGTACCTGGTGCAGTGTGTAAACATCAGCACTGGAGGAAGCAAAGGTGGCATGGTGCTAGCCACACACCCCTTATGTGCCGTGCTTGCCTTAATAGGGGCTCACTAACAGCACTTATCCCAACGGTTTGTTAAAGGCTATGCGAGGGGTATTTGTCGATGTGTAATTGAGTGTGTATGGAGCGAGGGTGTGGGTGTCTACCCATGATTTACAGTGTCTCCGTTTCTTTGTCTCAGAGCCCCCTGTGCCTCCGATGTCTGTGAGCTGTGAGACACCTGACCTCAAATCCTTGTCCTGCGTCTGGAAGCCAGGAAACCGGACTCACGTTGGAAAATTCACTCCCAATTACACCCTCACTTACAGGTGAGACAAAGACAAATCTCCCCTGTGTAGCCTTAACAGGCTGTTTGGGGAAAGCACTGTTAGCGAGTAGCACCTATGGAAGCCGGCATGGCACACGAGGGGGTAGGTGGCCAACACCATGCCCGGCAGCTTTTGCCTCCCCAATGGCGATGTTTACACACCGTAACAGGTACTCATTTTCAAGCTGAGTCGACCTAGGGGAGGCCTAGCACCGGTCAGATAATCGTTACTGGTCTTGGCCGTGAGCTGGAATCGAACTCGTGTCGCCGGGTTTGCAGCACATCGCGCTAACCGCTGCGCTACTACTCATGCAGGTGAGACGATGATCCCCGTATAGCCTTGGCAGACTGTTGGGGCAAGTGCTGTTAGCAAGCACCTATGAAGGCCGGCACGGCACACGAGGGGGTGGGTGATCAGCACCACGCCCGGCCAACTTTATCTTCCCAGTGGCAATGTTTACAATCGCACTAGGTACGCATTTGAGGCTGAGTGGATCTACAGGTGAGACACTCAAAGACACACACTCTCGTGTAATCTAAATGCCCTCGTCTGCAGCGGCATGCTGTATACAGTGAGGGAAAAAAGTATTTGATCCCCTACTGATTTTGTACGTTTGCCCACTGACAAAGAAATGATCAGTCTATAATTTTAATGGTAGGTTTGTTTGAACAGTGAGAGACAGAATAACAACAACAAAAAATCCAGAAAACGCATGTCAAAAATGTTATGAATTGATTTGCATTTTAATGAGGGAAATAAGTATTTGACCCCTCTGCAAAACATGACTTAGTACTTGGTGGCAAAACCCTTGTTGGCAATCACAGAGGTCAGACGTTTCTTGCAGTTGGCCACCAGGTTTGCACACATCTCAGGAGGGATTTTGTTTCACTGCTCTTTTCAGATCTTCTCCAAGTCATTAAGGTTTCAAGGCTGACGATTGGCAACTCGAACCTTCAGCTCCCTCCACAGATTTTCTATGGGATTAAGGTCTGGAGACTGGCTAGGCCACTCCAGGACTTTAATGTGCTTCTTCTTGAGCCACTCCTTTGTTGCCTTGGCCGTGTGTTTTGGGTCATTGTCATGCTGGAATACCCACCCACGACCCATTTTCAATGCCCTGGCTGAGGGAAGGAGGTTCTCACCCAAGATTTGACGGTACATGGCCCCGTCCATCGTCCCTTTTATGCGGTGAAGTTGTCCTGTCCCCTTATCAGAAAAAAACACCCCCAAAGCATAATGTTTCCACCTCCATGTTTGACGGTGGGGATGGTGTTCTTGGGGTCATAGGCAGCATTCCTCCTCCTCCAAACACACGGCGAGTTGAGTTGATGCCAAAGAGCTCCATTTTGGTCTCATCTGACCACAACACTTTCACCCAGTTGTCCTCTGAATCATTCAGATGTTCATTGGCAAACTTCAGACGGGCATGTATATGTGCTTTCTTGAGCAGGGGGACCTTGCGGGCGCTGCAGGATTTCAGTCCTTCACGGCGTAGTGTGTTACCAATTGTTTTCTTGGTGACTATGGTCCCAGCTGCCTTGACAAGATCCTCCCGTGTAGTTCTGGGCTGATTCCTCACCGTTCTCATGATCATTGCAACTCCACGAGGTGAGATCTTTCATGGAGCCCCAGGCCGAGGGAGATTGACAGTTCTTTTGTGTTTCTTCCATTTGCGAATAATCGCACCAACTGTTGTCACCTTCTCACCACGCTGCTTGTAGCCCATTCCAGCCTTGTGTAGGTCTACAATCTTGTCCCTGACATCCTTGGAGAGCTCTTTGGTCTTGGCCATGGTGGAGAGTTTGGAATCTGATTGATTGATTGCTTCTGTGGACAGATGTCTTTTATACAGGTAACAAGCTGAGATTAGGAGCACTCCCTTTAAGAGTGTGCTCCTAATCTCAGCTCGTTACCTGTATAAAAGACACCCGGGAGCCAGAAATCTTTCTGATTGAGAGGGGTCAAATACTTATTTCCCTCATTAAAATGCAAATCAATTTATAACCTTTTTGACATGCGTTTTTCTGGATTTTTTTGTTGTTATTCTGTCTCTCACTGTTCAAATAAACCTACCATTAAAATTATACTGATAACTTCTTTGTCAGTGGGCAAACGTACAAGATCAGCAGGGGATCAAATACTTTTTCCCCTCACTATGTGTTGTATGTGGTTTCCTATAAGCTCTGGGAATCGCAGTGTGACTGTGGATGCCACGGAGACCGGGAGAGTCGTGGAGCTCCTGGACCGTCTGTCCGGCTTCTCCATTACCGTGACGACGCAGAACCGGCTTGGGGTCGCCACAGCAACCGAGATGTTCCCCACGGCAATGCACGCTTGTACGCACCGAGAGAGATTCACAGACACCCTCACACTGTTATAGAGATAAAACTAAAACTTTTATTTTACCAGGTAAGGCCCACTGAGCTATACAGCTTTTTTTCAGAAGTAATCTGGCCACAAATTATAGTTCAACGAAGTGGCTTATCGTGCAGGAATTTATAGCAGCCAAATACTCTTCGCACATGTTTCAGTAAAAGTGAGTGGGGAGAAAGGAGGGGCACAGTCGGATCTTGCGTCGCCCCCTCCCTCCCCGTTGAATTAGAGACTTGTGTCCCTGCGCAGACACACAGCAGGACCCATAAAGACCCCTCCAGCAGTGCTGCGGTGAACCAGCAGCTGCGGCGCTGCGCCTTTACCTTTGTACCCACCTCTCCCATCCCCCCCCCCGCCCCTATTCCGCAGTGCGCCCCCCTCCTCCCCAGGAATTGAAGGTGGAGGGCGTGGGGGGCAGCGACCCCCCCGCGCTCAACGTGAGCTGGCTCATGACCCCCCACCTCAGCGATGTCGCGCTCAACTTTGAGGCCTGCGCCTTCATCTCCGGCAGCGACCGCCCCCTCTGTGTGAGACAAATGGGGAGAGAGAAATACGCAGAAAGAAAGAGAGAGACACGCAGAGAGAGGGGCACGCAGAGAGAGGGACATGCAGAGAGAGGGGCACGCAGAGAGAGGGGCACGCAGAGAGATAGACACGCAGAGAGATAGACACGCAGAGAGCGAGAGACGGAGAGAGACACGCAGAAAAAAAGAGAGAAGCAGAGAAAGACACGTAGAGAGAAAGGAACACATGGAGAGAAAGGAACACGTGGAGAAAGAGAGAGACGCATGGAGAGAAAGAGAGAGACGCATGGAGAGAAAGAGAGAGACGCATGGAGAGAAAGAGAGAGACGCATGGAGAGAAAGAGAGAGACGCATGGAGAGAAAGAGAGAGACGCATGGAGAGAAAGAGAGAGACGCATGGAGAGAAAGAGAGAGACGCATGGAGAGAAAGAGAGAGACGCATGGAGAGAAAGAGAGAGACGCATGGAGAGAAAGAGAGAGACGCATGGAGAAAGAGAGAGACGCATGGAGAGAAAGAGAGAGACGCATGGAGAAAGAGAGAGACGCATGGAGAGAAAGAGAGAGACGCATGGAGAGAAAGAGAGAGACGCATGGAGAGAAAGAGAGAGACGCATTGAGAGAAAGAGAGAGACGCATGGAGAGAAAGAGAGAGACGCATGGAGAGAAAGAGAGAGACGCATGGAGAGAGTGAGAGGGAGGGACGCATGGAGAGAGGGATGCAATGAAAGAGGGAACGTGAAGGATGCATAGAGATAGAGAGAGGGATGCATAGAGATAGAGAGAGGGATGCATAGAGATAGAGAGAGGGATGCATAGAGATAGAGAGAGGGATGCATGAGAGGGTGAGAGGGGAGGGATGCATAGAGAGAGGGAGGGTGAGAGAGAGAGAGGGATGCATGGAGAGAGAGAGAGAGGGAGAGTGAGAGGGAGGGATGCATGTAAAGAGAGAGGGAGGGTGAGAGATAGAGGGATGCATAGAGAGAGGGAGGGACGCACGTCCATGCCGCACTCTAACCGCGTGCGTGTCGCCACGTTCCAGGCGGAGCTGCCGATGAGTCCCCCGTGGGCCGACTCCGCGCGGGGCACGCGGCCACAGCTACTGCTGTCGCCCGTGCCCCCCTACACGGCGCTCAGCGTGCGGCTCCACACGAGGGGCCCGGTGGCGGGGCCCAGGCAGTGGGGCCCATGGGGAGACCCCTTTGCCCTTCGCTCACCATCGGCCGGTGAGTGCCAGGCTAGATATATGACGAGGCCGGTGAGTGCCAGGCTAGGTACATAATGAGGTTGGCGAGTGCCAGGCTAGGTGCACTCTGCATTTAGGGGTGACACGGCAAGATGTTAACTCCCTCACCTAGTATACAGGAGGTCGTGGGTTCGATTCTGACACTGACGCACGTATATTTGGAGTTTGCGTTTCTCTCTCCCCGTGGTTGTTGATTTTTATCTGGGTCCTCCGATTCTTTACTCCACACTTAGAAACATGCCTTTAGAGTATTTAGCTCCAATAAATTTCCACTTAATTATCAACTTTGTTGAGCTATAATTTTTGGCCAGGTTGCTTCTAAAAAAGAGCAGTATAGCTTCGTGGGACTTACCTGGTAAAATAAAAGTAATTTTAGTTCAGTTGAGAACTGTCAAGGGATTGTCTTTGTTTTCTCTTTCACACAACAACAACCGCCATTTGTCACTAAGTGGCGGTGACGTCACCATGCTGCTTGTCCCAGACTAGGTCTACCATAAGACCATGTGATGTGTCTCAGACTGGCTGACAGGCGGTCATTGCACAGTACCCAGGTACCATCGGTTGACTGAGATGACTTCCAAGTGAACAACATGTGCTCCCCATTATGCATACTTATTGCGTTTTAGCTACCCGGCGCTCCGCTCGTTATTGTGAGCATTGCTCTTCCGCCCTCCATTGTTGCTGGAGGGTGACTGCCTCCAATTGCCCATTACCGTGATTCACAAGCTTCTTCTACAGAGGCCGATCCTGACACCGCTGGTACCATTCTTCAGCAAGTCCATTCAGCTCCACATCCTCTTGTACAACATAAGTTCATTCCTTTTCCAGTCTGTGCTGCTCCAATTTAGCCCCCTCTATCTGGCCAAACAGAATCTGCTTGGCCGAGAGATGTCTGGGCATGCAGGCTAGATGACCTAGTCAACGCAGCCTTGCCTGCCGGAGGAGCTCACTCACTGATGGAACTGTCTCCAGATCTTTCAAGGATCTGTGAGCTTACACAATCCAGTCCGGTTCAACCCAAGATTGATCATAAGCAGACCAGCCTGAATATTTCAAATCGGCACAGATGTTCCTTTCAGGGGCTCTGCGTTTTTCAAGCGTATAGAAGGGAGGACATAACTGTGGCCGAGAAGACCCGAAGCTTTGTATGAAACGATGACCAGGTAGCCTCCACACAGTGTTACGGAGCCAATGAAAAGACAATGCCGCTCAACTCATTCAGAGTGAGACTTTTGTCTGGTACGTTACTGGAGTTGGCCAAGAATACCTGGCCAGTGAGGTATCTGGGCAAGGACAATTTTTTTAATCGGCGGTTGTGTACATTACAGTGACCTCATCACTCTCCCCTCTCTCGCCAGTGCCTCTGGTGACCCCTGACCTGTGGAGGATGGTTTCCATTACAACTGCGGGTGACAAGATGGCTGCCATCATGTGGAAAGTGCGAGATTTAAAATAAGTCTTGACCCTCACAATTAAGCGACATCAATCACGACACGGCGATTACACCGGAGAGATTTCACCAGAGCAATTACACCAGGCCGATTACACTGGGGCGATTACACCAGAGCATTCGCACCAGAACAATTACACCGGAGAGTTTACACCGGGGCAATTACACCGGGCGATTACACCGCAGTGATTACTCTACAACTATTGCACCGTAACGATTTCACTGGAGCGATTACTCCACAGCGATTATACCGGAGCAATCATCGGGGTGATTATGCCAGAGCAATTACACCGGAGAGGTTTCACCGGAGTGATCACACCGTAATAATTATTTACACCGTAACGGTGTAAATACCCACCCACTCACGTACTCGGTGGTCCATCGGCCTGGAACTCGCCTACCCACTCACCTACTCACCCACCCACTCGCCTACTTAGCGGCCCATTGGCCTGGAACTCACTGCCACTGCACGATGTTCGAGACTCTTAACACATTTAACGAGTTCAGTGGAAAATGCAAGAAAAAACTGTTTAATACAGCTTACAAAGTACGAATATTGTGCACTCGTGATAACCTAGGTTATAATAGTTGCGCGCCTATAAATGTACTTACCACGGCGATAATTGGACAGGGCTGTGAAGCTCTCTGAGAGTTGATGCTCTCTCAGCTCGATGGCCCAGTAACTTGCAGAGAGACCCAAGGACTCCCGCAGGCTCGTAGGATGCGCAGTCATCTGGAGGATGCGATGGCGTTACTCCTAACCCCAACATACTGTGTCTTCAGGCCATCGGCGATACCGAGGCGCGTGGCAAGGTCCGGTCCTACTGCCTGTGCCTCTCGTCGGCCCCGGGGACCGATAAGGAATGCCACAAGTTTCCATCACCCCCGGTGAACGGGTGGCCCCTCCCCCCCGGAGCTACCCTCCCCGTCGCCGTGACGATAACGGTGACTAACGAAGCAGGAGCGTCGCCCCCGGCGACTGTCGTCATCACCCCCAGAGACTACAGCACAGGTTTGTAATGGCCATGCTACTGAGTTCATGGTGGCCATCACCACCATCACGGACTATACTTCGTTACCTTCAGGTTATTGTATACTTAGAAGCTGATATTATTGTAAACAGCGTTGCCTCGTTAAACTACCCAAGCCTGTAGTAATAACCAATCCACCTGCGATTCTAATTACCAAACTGCTGACGTGTAGTTGTAAGAAAATAACATTGGATACACGGTGACGAAATCACCGATCAGCGATCTGCCCTCTATGGTCCTTGTGAAAGCAGTATCAGGGTGTCTCCTATCGATTCTGCTCGCAGTCGATCTGACATCCACGTTTTAAAGAGAACCCATTAATCGAGGGTTATCGCTGCGTCGATTCATTGGCAAGCGTTCCGTGGATCGAGTGAATCTCATTGGTTGGTACGGCGTCGTGTGAAATGCCCCCTTTCTTTCGATTGGCCTGACATCTGCGCGATGGGCGATTCGCACAAAACCTTTTGCCGACATCGCGGCGCCTCCTCGACAGCCGGATCAAGGAGCTCGTTGAGGCGAAATCTCGAGCGACGCGTCTTGCGCGGTGCGTCGCTTTTCCACGTAACCGGTGCCGCTGAACGACGAGGCCAGTGGATAGATACACCCACGCGACAGACCGCTTGGTGTGACCCTGTCAGGTGGTGCAGGGCGCAGGGATCAGGGCTCCCTTGGCCCTTTGACCCTGCGTGGTGGTCTCGCCCACGGCCACAGATTGCGATGTGAGGAAGCCACCGAATGACAAACACTACCCTCTTTTTTCTTCTTTGGTTCTTTCGGTAAAGTCACGTAGAATGATAATAAAATAATAAAATTGATAAAATAAAATAACACAATAATATTCTCACGACGTTTCGGCCACAACACAAGCGGCCTTCATCAGGTGAAGGGGGCGAGACTGTCTGGTAGGACAGCGCTGGAGTGAAAGAGCCACGTTCAGATACGGCCGTATCTGAACGTGGCTCTCCAGCGCTGTCCTACCAGACAGTCTCGCCCCCTTCACCTGATGAAGGCCGCTTGTGTTGTGGCCGAAACGTCGTGAGAATATTATTGTGTTATTTTATTTTATCAATTTTATTATTTTATTATCATTCTACGTGACTTTACCGAAAGAACCAAAGAAGATGAATCATTGCAGTCACGAAAGCTTTAAATCGAAACTACCCTCTTTGCCTCCCTCGGTCTCACAGAATCTGTTCTGGCGGAGAGAATTGTGGGAACATCGTCATCACCATCATCATCATTGCCATCGTCATTGTCATCGCCATCACTGGTGCTATCATGGCCACCCCACCCATCGCCGTGCGGCCTGGTGGTGCAGTGGTCCATTGCCACGGAGACCGGAGGTCATCCTTGTTTGGTTGCTATCGGCAACATCAGCAGACACAGCAACATCATGAGCAGAACCTACTGGAAGAGAATCGGACCAAATTCTACCAGGGCAACACTTAACGCAGGTAAGAGGCTATATGGCAAAACCGGGATGTTCATGATAGCCGTGTCAGGTTCAGAATGGTTCAAGGGGACCATACGTTACACAGCTGTAGTGATGTCACTGTATGGTGCCGGCCCGGAAGGTCGTGCCGTTCAATGCTCCTACATCGTGGACAGCACCGTGTGGGTGGCTGTGTGTAATACCAGCCCTAGCGGGGCTTGGCGAGCACTGGGATAGTGCGGGCACCACGCACAGCGTGTGGTGGGGGCTCCCCCGAGGAGGAGGGGGTGAGTATCAGCCCAGGGGCAAGGTTGCCCTGGGCCATGGCACCCTGGTTGACCCCGTAGACACGTGATCCGGAATGTCCATACAGGGGGCCCTAGGTGGCGGGACTAGGGGGTGATCACGTGTCCGGAGAGAGCTCTTGAGAAGGATGGAGAGAGAATGAGAATGTTCGGGAAGGCGGGTGGGGCCGAGGGCGGAGCGGCCCCGACCAGAGAGGGATATAAGGCGGGTCCCTGATAGGGACCGGGGTCGCTGTATTTTACAAGCTGGGAGCTCAACATCTACAAGCGGGAAGCTCTACGTCTCAAGCTGAAGCTCTCCGTCTTACAAGGCAACCACATGGTCGGAGACCCGAGTGAGGGATCGACCCTATGTAGCAGTAACTCGCTGTAGTCTAGTAAAGGGGCAGTTACCCCTTTGTTACGGTGTTACAAATAAAAGTGTTGCCTCTAAATGGAACAACGTCTGTGACTCAGTTGGTCCCACTACACAGGTATCCTTCGATTTACAAACGCTCGGTTTACGAAATTTTAACGCTAAGGTAATTGACAAATTATGGATAGAAAATCGAATTTCCATGTTGAAATTTCACGATGACATCACCTTTCACAGTCATTCCAGCATGCAGGTCTTTTTGGTGAGTTCTCTAAAAAGGTTAGTTATTTATTTGCTTACAATTAATTATTATTCAATCGTTTTAATATTTATGTTATCTGTATTTGTTTTAAACGTGATATCATTTGGTGTGTATATTTTGGTTAGGAGTTGGAGTAACTGTCCGAAATACATCCCTCATGTTTAGTATTAAATGAATGGGAAAATCCGTTCTCATTTACCATATTTTGTTTTATGCTTTTTTTTGGAAGATCGCATTCCTTTCATAAATCGAGAGATGCCTGTATTTTGTATTCCTGTGTTTGTGTCTGTCTAACCCCATCCCTGTGCGTGCGTAAGGATGTAGTCCCATCATCACTGAGCTTGTTCGACAGGCGAGGCTGTGTTGGCTGGGTCACATTGCTCACATGCCCAGCCACCGCATGCCCAAGCAGCGTCTGTTTGGCCGGATAGGTGCGGCATGGGATAGAGAAGAGATGGAGCTGGTGTGGTAGAGAAGGATGTGGAGCCGAGTGGACTTGCTGATGACTAGTACCAGCGGTGTCAAGATCAGCATATGTGGAGAAGGCTCGTGAAGGACACTACTGGGCAGTTGAAGACAGTTACTCTCCGTTAACAAAAGAAGCCAGAGGCGTGAGACTCACAACAATGAGCAGAACGACAGGCGGATAGAACACAGTGGGGGGCGCAGGTGGTGCATCTGCCAGTCATCTGTTGGTCAACCCAAACACCTGGGTCTGTTCCATGACCTGCTAGCAGCGAGCCTTCAACATTTCAAGTGGCCTCAAAGTGCACTTAGCCTGGCACAAGCACCTTGGTGATGTCACCATCACTTAGTGGCGAACGACAGCTGTTGTGTTTGTGTGTATTTGTCTCTGCGCAGAGGACGAGCTGGAGTCGTACGTGCGCTATGCCGTGTGTGTGTACGCTTGTGCGCATAACGAGTTCACGCTCATCAAGGCTGCCCACACATACCTACAGGAGGGCAGTGAGTACACGAGTTTGTGTGTGTACACGAGTGTGTGTGTGTTTACACGAGTACACGTGGGGACCGGTAGCGTAGCGGTTAGCGTGCTGCTCTACGAACCCAACGACCCGAGTTCGATTCCCACTCACGGTCAACACCAGCAACGATTATCTGAACCAGTCCTGGGCCTCCCCTAGGTTGACTCACCCTCAAATGAGTACCTGATGCGGTGTGTGTAAACATAACCACTGGAGAGACGAAGGTGGCTGGGCGTGGTGCTGGCCACCCATCTCCTTGGAGTGCAGTGCCGGCCTTCATAGGTGCTCGGTAACAGCACTTGCTTCAACAGTCTGTTAAGCTATACGGGGGATGTTTGTGTTTATGCCTCGGAAACATGGACCCCTCGAATGAAACATATGCGGCAGATGCACCACCTGTGCATCTGCCAGTCATCCCAGTTGGTCAACCCATGGCACGTGGGTCTATGCCGTGACCTCCAGTCATCAGCGAGCCTTCGACAGTTCACATATCCTCAAAGTTCACATAGCCTGGCGCAAGTGCTGTTGCCACTTAATGGCAAATGGCGGCTGTTGTGGTTGTGTATAAATGTCTGTTTCCGTATGCTTCTCTGTGTCCTTGTCTCGGTGTCTCTCTCCCTGCATCTCACCGTCTCTCACTTTATCACTTTGTCTCCGTGTGCCCGTGTCTTTCTGCATCTCTTTTTCTCTGCGTTGCTCTGTGTCTGTCCCCACGGCTCTCCCCGCGGCTCTCCCCACATCTCTTCCTGTGTCTCTCCCCACATCTCTTCCTGTGTCTCTCCTCGCATCCCCACAGCCCCTGTAGGTACCCCGGCTATCTCTGTGACCGATGTCTCTGAGCAGTCGGTGACTCTGAGCTGGGAGCCGGTCCCAGTGCTTGAGCTGCGGGGCTTCCTCACCGAGTACCGGCTCACCTGGAATGAGGACAGAGGTGAGTCCCACTCACCGCTGCTCACCAATACTCACCACTCACCCATAAACCGATACAAACACAAAGATCTCATGTAGAGCCTAAACAGGCTTTTGCGGTAAGGGCTGGTATCGAGCACCTGTAATGGCTGGTTGCGGCACACGAGTGGGTGGGTAGTCAGCACCATGCCCGGCTGCCTTTGTCACTCTAGTGCCAATATTTACACACCGTACCAGGTACTCATTTGAGGCTTAGTGGACTTAAGGGAGAACCAGGACCGATTCAGATTATTGTTCCTACTGTTGGCCGTGAGCGGAAATCGAACTAGGGTCGCCTAGTTCGTAGTGCAATGCGCTAACCATTATACCACCGCTCCCCACTAACTCACACGTGAGCTAACGCGGCTAAGCATGTAACCTGGACACTATTCCCTGCAGCAGCTTTAACGGTCGACAGAACACTTGAGTGTGTAGTCTCCTTCGAGTCCACGTGTCTCTTGAGTGCCCGCGTTGTCCCCATGTCTCTCAGTGCCCGCGTTTTCCTCATGTCTCTGAGCGCCCATGTTGTACCCGTGTCTCTGAGTGCCTGCGTTGTCCCCGTGTCTCTGAATGCCTGTGTTGTCCCTGTGTCTCTGAGTGCCTGCGTTGTCCCTGTGTTTCCTAGTGCCCATGTTGTTTCCGTGTCTCTGAGTGCACGCGTTGTCTCCGTGTCTCTGAGTGCCCGTGTTGTCCCCGTGTCTCTTAGTGCCCACGTTGTCTCCATGTCTCTTGAGTGAGTGCCCGCGTTGTCTCCTTGTCTCTTGAGTGCCGTGTTGTCCCCGTGTTTCTGAATGCCCGTGTTGTCCCCATGCCTCCGAGTGCCCATGTTGTCCCCATGACTCTTGAGTGCCCATGTCCCCCGTGTCTCTTAGTGCCCGCATTGTCTCCGTGTCTCTGTGTGCCCGCGTTGTCTCCGTATCTTGGGTTGTCCCCGTGTCTCTTAGTGCCCGCGTTGTCTCCATGTCTCTGAGTGGCCGCGTTGTTTCCGTGTCTTTTGAGTGCCCGCGTTGTCTCCATGTCTCTGAGTGCCCGCGTTGTTTCCGTGTCTTTTGAGTGCCCGTGTTGTCCCCGTGTCTCTGCGTGGCCGTGTTGTCCCCGTGTCTCTGAATGCCTGTGTTGTCTCCGTGTCTCTGAATGCCCGCTTTGTCTCTGTGTCTCTGAGTGCCCGTGTTATCTCCGTGTATCTGAGTGTCCGCGTTGTCCCCGTGTCTCAGGCATTCCCCGCTCCATCTCCGTGCCGGACACGGCTCTGCGTGTCCTCACAGTGCTGCAACTCTCCCCTAGAACCCAGTACTGGTTCACAATGGCTGCCCTCACAGTACAGGGAGCAGGGCCAGAGGGGGATCCTCGCCCGATCCTCACCAAAGTCTCCTGTAAGGACTCACCCACCCAACCTCTCACCCACTCACCTACTCACTCGTCCACCCACTCACCAAATCACCTACTCACCTACTCACCAAATCACTCATCCACTCACTCACCCACCCTCACACCCACTCACTCTCCCATCCAACCACTCACTCTCCCACCCAACCACTCACACTCCCACCCACCCACTCACCCACCCACTTACTCACCCACCCACTTACTCACCCATGCACTCACTCATCCACCCGCTCACTCACTGACTCGCCTGTTCTACGCGGCTTTGTGAGCTGGGCTCTTGTATGTACATACAGTAAAACCTTGGATTGCGAGTAACTTGGTCTGCGAGTGTTTTGCAAGACGAGCAAATTTTTTTATACATTTTAACTTGATAAACGAGCGAGGTCTTGCAATACGAGTAGTACGTACAGTATACGCTTTGTCTGCTGAGCGTCACGTGATCACAACTGAGCCGATGGTTCTTCTCTCTCTCTCGCTGCGGGATTGTGGGTAATCGTCTCCTGTGCTCGGTCTCAGTCGGCGTGCCTCACTCGTAAAGTCAACATCCGTGCGAGCGTATACTGTTTACTATAGTGTTGTGACCACGTGTGTGTGCGTAAAGCATTTTTTTTTATTTTGTGTCCAAGTGTAGTGACTTCTTTAGTAACTGTACTGCAACAATGTCCCCCTCCTCCTCTCTTCTCTCTCGTCTCCCTCACACCAGCCATGATTCAATTTAATTAATACATTTTATTACTTTATATGAAATTTAAATAATAAAAATATAAAAAGGTATTTTGTATTAATAATTTTTATATGAATATTTTTGGGTTGTGGAACGAATCATCTCAGTTTCCATTATTTCTTATGGGGAAATTCGCTTTGATATACGAGTGCTTTGGATTACAAACACGTTTCCGGAACGAATTATGCTCGCAATCCAAGGTTTTACTGTACTTTGAACTTTTTCACACCGTACGTAGCCAGCCGTGTTAATGGGAGTGTGGGTAGCATGGTTGGCTCCGTCCGGTGAACCCCTCGTGATAGTTGATCCTCTTCATCCCCTATGGGACATAAGGCCACATTGAGTTCCCTCCACTTCTTTCTGTCCTTGGCAACTTGTTGAGCCTCACCCCAAGAGAGGTTGATCGCTGCTGCCAGCTCGTCTTTCAAGGTCTCACGCCAGGTGGTCTTGGGTCTCCCGGGTTTCCTTTTGCCCAGTGGTGTCAATCGTAGGGCTATTTATCGTTATACGGTCCCTGGTTCAGAATGGACCAGGGACTATATAACGGATGTCATCTCCAGCGACAGGGGCGGAGGTGACAGGGTAGGTGACAGGGTAGACAATTGTCACCCCCGAAAAAAAAATCGAAAATCTGAAACATTCTGCGTATAAGTGTACGACACTCGGTCTGGCGGACTCCGTGCAACTGCATTGTCAGAGTGTGTCGCCAACTGAGTCGGACGCCGAAGTATTACGCTACGCGTATCTGCAAGCAGGACGGTTTGTACCGCCTCCGGCTCCATAACTTGGCCTGACCGGGACGTTGAAATACCCGTCCAAGTTCGTTGGCGGCGCTGCCCGCCGCCCGACGGCGTCTTTGTTTGTTCAGTTCGACTGGCTCGAATACTCGTTCATCAGTGAGTCTGTTTACTGCTGCTATTGCTACCTCTTCCCGCCGTCGTCAAGCGCAGATAACGTTGCGTCGGCATTCATCTACTCCCCCGGCTTCTCAACCTGGAATAAGATCGGTGGCAGGAATTGCAGCCTACTCGAGCATCAGGGTGGGCACAAGTCGGCACACAACATCGCCGTGAAGAAGGCCAGGGACCTTCTCAACGCCCGGCAGCACGTCATCACGGGCGACGCTGGGCTGGCCCGACAGAATGCCAAAACTATTGACGGCAACCGCAAGCGCCTGGACGCCTCTGTCGACGTCATGCGCGTCTGCATGAACCAGGGAATTGCAATGCGGGGACACGACGAGTCGCCTGGCTCTCTTAACCGGGGCAATTTTCTGGAGATTCTCAACATGTTACGCAAGCGTGACGCACTGCTTGCGGCCATCACCTGGGAGAACGCGCCGCAGAATGCGACCATTACCAGCCCCGACGTTCAGAAGGACCTGATCCATGCTCACGCTCAACTGGTGCGCCGGCGCCTCGACACCGAGATTGGCGACGCGTACTATTGCATCATGGCGGACGAGTCGCGTGACGTCAGCAAGAAGGAGCAGCTGGTCGTCGTCAACCGCTTTGTCGAGCTCAGTACGGGCATCCTGCGCGAGCGACTCGTCGACATTCAGCACGTGTCGGACACGTGTGCGCCCACCCTCTGCAGCGCCATTGTCAACCTGCTCTCGAGTCGCCGGCGCCCTATTGAGACCTGCCGCGGCCAAGGATACGATGGCGCGTCGAGCATGAGCGGTGAGATCGCTGGCTTGCAGACCTTGATCAAGGCCATGAACGACATGGCCTACTACACGCATTGCTGGGCGCATAAGCTGCAGCTCGCTCTCGTCGCTGCCTGCACAAATGACGTCGCCGACATTGCCGTGTTCTTTGACCTCGTCCAGGACATTATCCACACTGCCACCGGCTCGTGCAAGCGCAGCGACCAACCGCTCGCCGAGCACAAGAAGCTCGTGGACGACCTGGTCGATGAGCTGGCGGTCTCCACTGGCCGCGGTCAGAATCAGGAGACGGCGTTGTCGGCGGCGGGCAACACGAGGTGGTCGTCTTTCTGGCGCTCGCTGCACCGCCTGATTGAGATGTTCAACACGACTGCCGTCGTCATCCAGAACGTGGAAGAGGACGGCGCCAAGGCAGAGCAACGGGCCGAAGCTCATCGCCTTCTCAACGACATGTTCTCGTTCAAGTTCGCGTTCTGCCTGCACCTGATGGAGCGCTTGCTTAAGATCACGAACGATTTGCACGTGGCGCTGCAGAAAGAGGACCAGGACGTTGTCAATGCGATGCGGCTTGTGGATTGCACCATTGAGTCGCTGAAGGAGCTGCGCGAGAACGGCTACGACGATCTGCTCAAGGACGTCAACGCCTTCTGCGACGTCATCCAGGTATCCGTCGACATGAACGCGAACTACACCCGCCCTGGACGTCCTCGGCGCTGCACTTACGTCATCACCAACGACCACGTGTTTCACATCGACCTCTTTAACGCCTCAATCGACAAGATGCTGGTCGAGCTCGATCTGCGTTTCAGCGCAGAGTCGATGAAGATGTTGCGGCTGGCGGTCCATTTATCGCCCCGCAATCGATTTGAGTCATTTAACGTCAGTAACATCCTGGAGCTGGCCTCTGAATTTTACAAGCGCGATTTTCCCGATCTCGACATGCTTCTCCTCGAGCAGCAGCTGCTCCACTTTGAACAGGAAATCCGGCGAGATGAAGAGCTGAAGAATGTGAATACGCTGCCAATGCTGTCCATCAACCTGGCGACAAGCGGCCGCGGAGATTCCGGCTTTCACCTGGTCAACCGCCTGGTGCGCCTCGTGTTGACCCTTACTGGTGGCCACCGCCACAGCCGAGCGCATCTTTAGCGCGATGAAGCACATTTGCGTACCACCATGGGCGCCGAGTCCTTTACTGACGCGATGCTCCTGTTCGTCGAAAACAACGTCGCAAAAGGCGTCACCAACGACGAAATCATGGAGCAGTTCCAGTCAATGCGCCCGCGCCGCAATTGTATCGTTTGAACTCTAGTTCAACAGCCTGACTCTCTAATCATTCTTGAAATTAACATTTGTTGAATGTCACCCCGGGCTGAAAATCCTGGCTCCGCCCCTGTCCAGCGAGACGTCATTCAGCAAACATCGCCAGTGTGGCTTGGGTTTCTCAACACCGCCCTTTGCTGAGGAAACATCATCAGGAGCACATGCCCACTGCATTCCAGCTGTTTTTTCTGGTGCTGGGTGGTGGAGCGTTCCAGCGCTGATTGACATTTCACCGACATGACGACCTGACCCAAACGGAAACCGGTCACGTGTCCTCTAGTTTCTCACCCACTTGCTCGCTAACCATTGTACTCACTCGTGCTTACACGCCCACCTGCTGGCTCGCTTACACGCAAAGACACAAACACTTGTGCACTCATGTACTCGCAACACACGCGGTGTTTGCGTGCGTGTGTTTCTTACCAAGGGTCTGTGTGTCTCCCCGTGTCTCCCTGCGTCTGTGTCTCGCCCTGTCTCCCCATGCCTCTCTGTGTCTCCCCGTGTTTCTCTGTCTGTGTCTTTCCTTGTCTACATATCTCTCTGTGTCTCTCTGTCTCACCCATGTCTCCTCGTCTCCCTGTCTTCCCGTGTCTCAGCAGTCGATCCTGCTAGGATTATTGTTCCTGTTTGCCTCAGTATCACCGTAGGCATCATCCTCGCCGTGATTTTATGCTATCATAGACAGAGGTGAGTGCTATGTGCACCTCATTCGCCCATTCATTCACTCAGCCACTCGCTCACCACCCACCACTCAATCACCTTCTCACCCACTCACTCCCCCACTCACCCACTACCCCACTCACTCACCCACTTACCCACACACTTGGTGATGATGCTGTTGATGTCGGCTATGTTAATGATGATAATGATGCCGATAATTATGTTGTTGATATTGTTGATGGTGTTAGGCTGAAGAATGCGTTTTGGCAACCAATCCCCAGTCTCTTCAACTTAACCTGGCTAAGGGAGTTGGTGGAGGTGAGAATACGCACACAGACACGCACACACCTCCTCCCCGTGCCTCTCTCACCAAGTCTCCAATTCCCTTCCCTATTCTCCCTGGGTCATCCTCGTCCTGCCCATGCCTCCCTTCTCCTGTGTCTCCCTCTCCTCTTCTTCCCATGTCTCCTTCTTCTCCCCGTGTCTCCCTCTTACTTCCCATGTCTCCTCCGATCTCTCCCCTGTCGCTCTTCTCCAATGCGTCCCCACCTCCCTCTCCCCATGTCTCCCTCTTACTCACCGCGTCTCACTACTCCCCCCCACCCCCCACCATGTCTCCGTGTGTCTCAGACGAAGACAAGGCCTGTCTCCTTGTCTCCTCCCATGTTGCCGTGCTTCACGGACGTGGACCCATGCTCCCTGGAGATCGTGTCTTCCTACCCACAATCCCCCGTGTCTCCCGTGTCCTCCTGTGTCTACGGGTATAAGTTGGAAGAGACACAGGGAGACACAGAGACACTGGTAGACACGGACACACACGGCAGAGACACAGAGATGCACGCAGGAGACACGGAGATGCGCGCGGGAGACACGGGCGTCCTCTACTCAATCATTTCTCGAGACAGCACGACTCCTGCTATCGGTGAGGTTCATAATGGCGGTGTCAGGGGGTTCATAATGGTGTGTTAGGGGGTTCATAATGGTGTGTCAGGGGGTTCATAATGGTGTGTCAGGGGGTTCATAATGGTTGTGTCAGGGGGTTCATAATGGTTGTGTCAGGGGGTTCATAATGGTTGTGTCAGGGGGTTCATAATGGTGTGTCAGGGGGTTCATAATGGCTGTGTCAGGGAGTTTATAATGGTGTGTCAGGGGGTTCATAATGGTTGTGTCAGGGAGTTTATAATGGTGTGTCAGGGGGTTCATAATGGTGTGTCAGGGGGTTCATAATGGTTGTGTCAGGGAGTTTATAATGGCTGTGTCAGGTGGTTCATAATGGTGTGTCAGGTGGTTCATAATGGTGTGTCAGGGGGTTCATAATGGTTGTGTCAGGTAGTTTATAATGGCTGTGTCAGGTGGTTCATAATGGTGTGTCAGGTGGTTCATAATGGTGTGTCAGGGGGTTCATAATGGTTGTGTCAGGGAGTTTATAATGGCTGTGTCAGGTGGTTCATAATGGTGTGTCAGGGGGTTCATAATGGCTTCAGGGGGTTCATAATGGCTGTGTCAGGAGGCTTATAATGGCTGTGTCACCGGGTTCATAATGATTGTGTCACTGGGCTCATAATGGCTGTCAGGGGGTTCATAATGGACATTTCTCTCTCAGGGTGTTCACAATGGTCATGTGAGGATATGTATTGTCTGCCTATGTCTTTCCCCTCACAGGAGTTGTTGGGAGTGAGGTGTTGGAGGAGGAGAGAGAGGAGAGCGATGGATTCACTGCTGACCCCACCTGCCTCCCCGTGTCGAGCTACCTGCCCCAGAGAACGTCTTCCTGATACACACAAAGACATAGATCCCCTGTGTAGCCTTCAACAGACTCTTAGGGAACACCAATATGATATACAAAAAACAAAGACACACGTACACACATAGATACTACAACAACAAAAGCTGATATTAGCCACTAAGTGGCGGTGATGTCACCATGGCGCTTGTGCCAGGCTAGGTCTATCTTCGCTGACAAGAGGTCATGGCACAGACCCAGGTGCCATGGGTTGACTGACTGTGATGGCTGGCAGATGCACCAACTCTATCAATTTGCTGCGGTTTATCCGCCCGGCGCTTTGCTCGTTGTTGTGAGCGTCGCTGCTCTGTGCTCCATTACTGTTGGAGGGCGACTGCCTCCAACTCCCCAGCAGCGTCCTTCACAAACCTCCACAGAGGCCGATCTTGACATTGCTGGTAGCGGTCATTGGCATGTCCAATCAACTCCACATCCTTTTGTACCACATCAGTCCATCTCTTTTCCAGGCCGTGCCTATATAGCCCCCTTTATCTGGCCAAACAGAAGTTGCTTGGGAAAGCGGTGGCTAGGCCATGTGGGCTACATGACCCAGCCAACGCAGTCTTGCCTGCCGGAGGAGTTCACAGATGGGACTGTGTCCAGATCTTTTAAGGATCTCTGACCTTGCACAATCCAGTCTGGTTAAACCCAGCATGGTTCATAGGCAGGGCAACGTGAATGTTTTAAATTGGTGTTCCTTTAAAGGGCTCACAGTTTTGCAAGCCTAGAGAAGAGAGGGCATAACTGTGGCTGGAAAGACCCGGAATTACTTTGGAGCGACAGGCCAGGTAGCTTTCACGCAGCATTACGCAGCTGATGAAAAGATAATGCTGCTTGGCTAATTCGGAGTGAGACCTCCACTGCCAAACCAGAGCATTGAACAATAGAAAAAATACCCAGGCAGGTGCTTTGTTTTTTTGTGGCTAGTGATAAGGCCCCATCTCGTAGTGGCTCCCTCCAGATTCAGAAGTAGTGTCCCCAACTCCATCTCAGTGGGCGGCAATCACCAGATCATCAGCATACGTAACATGGTTGGCCAATAGGGAGCCATCACTTGACTGCACCTGGGCATTGATCAGCCTCCCTCCTATTGTATCTGTACCAAATATAAATTCCATTGGTACAGTTTCTCGAACGACATGGTAAAAGATGTTAAATAGTGTAGGGATCGGAGGACAATCCTGGCGCACCCCAAGGTGGACAGGTAATGGCTCGAACTCCCAGCCACGCAGTTTTACCTGGGCCTACCCGCCATCATGAAGTTCCTTAATGATTGTGAGCACAGGGTCAGGGACTCCAAAAGCACGGAGAATTATCCAGAGCCCTGGCCTATTGATGGTATCAATGGCCTTGACAAAGAGCCCCCTTTATAGCCTTAAAATAATGTTGGGGCAAGTGCTGTTAGCAAGCACCTATAAAGGCCAGAATGTCACATGAGGGGGTGATGTGGCCAGCACCACGCTCGGCTGCCTTTGTCTCCCTAGTGGCGATGTTTACACATTGATTCGGGTACTCATTAAAGGTTAAGTCGACCTAGGGGAGGCCCATGACCGGTTCAGATAATCATCACTGGTGTTGGGTGTGAGCGGGAATCAAACCCGGGTCACCAGGTTCATAGCGCAGCACGCTAACGACTACACTACCGCTCCCCAATAAACAACACAAACATGGACACATGAACACACGTAGCCAAACACTCCAGTATTATTGTTGTTTACCCAGGAAAGCCTTAACGAGTCTCGAGACTCTTATTAAGAGGCTCCGACGTTGCTATTGCGTAACGATACGTCGAGTAATTTTCAGGTAATGTTTCAGTATTGGGACGTGGTTTTGACCAATCCTGGTTACACTGCTCGCGTGTGTTTAGCTATGGGAGGAAAGCGAAGAACCCGGAGGAATCCCATGCAGGGCCATAGCTATGGAGACGGTCTTTGTTCGTGAACATATAAGAAGGTGGTGTGGCTAACACCATGCCCAGTCGCCTCCGTGGTGCTGATCTTTACATGCCGCACCAGGCGCTCATTTAATGCTGTTAACCTAGGGAGGACCAGGACCGCTTCAGATATTTGTCGTTGATTTTAGCCGTGATCGGGAAGCGAACTCGGATGACAGGGTTCATCGTGCAGTGCGTTAACCACTGTGCCACCGCTCCCCACATCTAAAACACGCGTGCACCAACACACGTACTTGTACAAAGACAAAAGATCTGCCGTGTTATCTACACAGACTGTTGGAGCAGTCTGTGTAGGTAACACTCGGACATAACAGATCTTTAGATTAAAAACACACCACAAAGTCCGAATGTTTACTATTCACTCATTGTTTCATTGAGTATAGGTTTTGCCTTGCTAATACTGCACAGGTCAAAACGTTACTGGAATAGCTATTTTATTTAACCACGCACACGGAGAGACCCATGGACTCGCACAGAGACCCAATCTCACCACGTTGTGACCTTGTATTAAAAATTCACAATAAAATATTTATATGAGAACGTCTTTGTCGAGGATTTCACAGTGGTTCGTGGTGGGCGGACCGGGTACATCATGGGGTCATTCTCCATTATCATCGTTGTGGAGCGCGATGCTGGGGCTACTGCTACCGCTCAGAAGGCCACTCGCCCCGGTACCCCCCCTCCGTGCCCCATCCCCCGTGCCTCCCCGCGTGCCCCCCCCCCCCCGTGTCCTCCCCCCGTGCCCCCCCCCGTGCCTTCCTTCCCACGTTCCCTCCCCCTTTGCCCCCCCCCCACTCCAATGCTGGAACATCTTCTGCAAACCACTCCATTGGGATCACGCGCAGCTGTAGAAACGTGGCCCCCTGCTGCGTAAAAAAACGCGCGGCAGGACCCTCCTGAAGAAGAGTCTCGAGACCCGGCGGAGCTTTTCCCCGGCAACTCCCCAATTCGCCGCGGCAGCGTTCGGGTCGCCGCTATTACGGTGTCTGCATTCTCGTTTTGTGTCGCAACAGAAGAGGGGCCTCGCCGAAAACATCGGGCAGTCCACCAAAGCGAGCCTGATTGAGTCACCCGCGTGTCAAAACCGGTCCACAGTTTTGCTCGCGTTGAACCACCGCTGCCCCAGGAGGCGGTCTCTGCTTGGTTATTCGCGGATGATTCCTCGCGGCTCGTGCGGGGACTCCGGTCGCTTGCCGTCCCCGTGTCCGCCGCGGGTATCCCGCATCGCAGCTTCTGCCCGACCGCTCTCTTCGCGGTTTGATGAAACAGCGAACCACCCATCAGCCGTTACGGATGCCACGGGGCGGAGACGGGTGTCTTGTACCTCTGCCAATGTGTCTGCCTCTGTGTACGTCTCTCTCGCTCTGCAGGGCCGTCCATAGAGGTTGGTGCGGGGCTCGGTGCAATGGTTGTTGTGTGGGCCCCCCGACGCCTTCACATTAAAGAAGAAGTATTACATCTGACACCTGGGCGGTTGCCCCGATTCGCCGACCGTACCCTCGGAACGGTTCTGTCTCTCTGCGATGTCCACTCGGTGTCTCTGTGTGTTGTCTACGCTAACCACTACTCTACTGCGTGTGGAGATCGGTGGTGGTGTCGCGGTTCCCGCTCACGGTCACCAACACCGGTGACGATTATCCTGAACCGGTCATATGCCTCCCCTACGTCGACTCAGCCTCAAATTAGTATCTGGCGCGGTGTGTAAGCATCGCCACTCGGGAGACAAATGCGGCCGGGCGTTGAGCTAAGGCCACCCACCCCCTCGTGTGCCGTGCCGGCCTTCATAAGTGCTCGCTAACAGCACTTGCCCCAACAGACTATGTTAAGGCTATACGGGGGATCTTTGTATTTCGTCCCTGTTTGACCCCGCGTGTTATTTATAAAGCGACGACGTCATCACGGAGCAGCTGAAAGGGCAAAGTGTGAACCAGGGCGCAGCAGAGACATGGTGAGTGCGTGTCTCTGTCTCCGTGTCTCTATGTCCCCGTCTCCGTGTCTCTATGTCCCCGTGTCTCCCGAACCTGTCTCCGTAGCTCTGTCTACGTGGCCCCTTGCCTCCGTATTCAGGTCACTCTCGCAGATGAGACCCTATAGCCTGGTCTCTTGAGTTCTCACCACGGTGAAGGAAATAAACTTGGAGCTGATTGAATCTGGAGCTGAGTGGACTTGCCGATGATTGGTACCAGCGGTGTCACGATCGGCCTCGTGGAGGAGGATCGTGAAGGACGCTGCTGCTGCTGGGCAGTTAGGAGGCAGTCGCTCCGCAGCAACAGAGTGTGATGGAGCGGCGCTCACAACAACGAGCGGAACGCCAGGCGGATAAACCCTTGCGCTACACCCATTTCAAACCTTTTAAAACGTCTGCCTCAGCAGCAGGCCAAGCTTTCCCACCTGATGACGGACGCTTGTGTTGCGCCCGAAACGTCGTGATTTATTGTATTTTATACCTACGTGACTTTACCGAAAGAACCAAAGAATATGGATTCCTGCAGTCACGAAAGCTTCAAATCAAGATATAGAACGCAGCAAGTTGTCACAGTGGGGGGCATATGTGGTGCATCTGCCAGTCACCTCAGTCAACACATGGCACCTGGGTCTTGTTCTGTGACCTCATGCCAGCGGCGAGCCATCGACACTTCACGTGGCCTCAAGATGCACCTAGCCTGGCACACACCGTGTTGTTGTGTACCTCAGCATCCCACGCCCTACCCCATTAGGACGAGCGGAAGCCTCCACTTAGCCACCCACGCTGAACGAGAACGAACAATCTTGATTTGAAGCTTTCGTGACTGCAGGCATCCATACTCTTTGTTTCTTTTGGTATAGTCACGTAGAACAATAATAGTAAATCACGACGTTTCGATCGCCACAGGTGGGATAGAGGACGATTGCTTGTGTGGCGATCGAAACGTCGTGATCTACTATTATTATGATTGTTCTACGTGACTTTACCGAAAGAACCAATGAGTATGAGAACGAACTGCAGCCTGCGGCGGCTGCTACTTTCCTCGAACGCCGCAGCAAAGAATGAGACGAGTGACTGCTGGAGTCTCCCACAGTCACACTTCGTGGCAAATGGCGGCTGTTGTTCCCTCTATCCCCGTGCCTCTCCCCCCACCACCACCGTGTCCCGCGGCAGAGTTCTGCGCTGTCTGTGTGGGCGCTGCGCGTGGGCCCCGGGGAGGACGCCATGGCCGCCCTGCGTCTCCTTGTGGCGCGCCGCGGCCTCCGCGCGCCCTTCCTCCTTGCGGCCGTGGGCAGCGTCACGGGGGCCACGCTGCGCCTCCCGGGCCCCGCAGCGCGGAGCCCCGAGGCGAGACGGGGCCCGCGCACACCACCACGCATCATCATCAGCTCTGAATAATCATATTCATATCACCGTTTTCATCATCACGATCATAATCACCATCGGCAGAATTTTGATAATGAATTATGATCATCGTGATGAATATTACCATGAGCAGAATCAGTATCACCATCATCACGATCAATATTGCCATAGAATCAGTATCACCATCATAACGATCAATATCTCATCAGCAGAATCAGTATCACCATTATCACGATCAATATTGCCAGAGCAGAATCAGTATCACTTATCATCACGATCAATATATTCATCAGCAGAATCAGTATCACCATCATCACGATCAATATCTCCCATCAGCAGAATTAGTATCACCATCATCACGATCAATATTGCCAGAGCAGAATCAGTATTACTATCATCACGATCAATATATTCATCAGCAGAATCAGTATCACTATCATCACGATCAATATCTCCATCAGCAGAATCAGTATTACCATCATCACGATCAATATTGCCAGAGCATAATCAGTATCACCATCATCACGATCAATATTGCCAGAGCAGAATCAGTATCACTATCATCACGATCAATATCTCCATCAGCATAATCAGTATCACCATCATCACGATCAATATTGCCAGAGCAGAATCAGTATCATCATCACGATCAAAATCATAAGCAGAATCAGTATCACCATCATCACGATCAGAAAATTACCATCAGTATAATCATGACCAAGGTCGTAACCATCATGTTTTTGGTGTCGACCAAATGATAACTGCTTTGTGAGATCTTGGACGTGTTTGGGTTATGGACAAATTATCCCCGATATCGGAATCGGTTTTGAGTCGCCCTGTGCTTGCCCGAGTACTGATAGAATGAATGACGCAGGGACTTCAGGATTGGCTTAAGAGCTGAGTGAATTAAAACAACTGTGCATCGACTGGGTGAATAAATCACCGCATGACTGAGCGGGCGAATGAAAAAAAACAAGCTAATACGTGAATAAGAAACTGAGCTAATGAGCGACTCGCTCTCCGTCGTGTGGGTGGGGACGATGGCTATGTAAAATTGAGCGGTGCTTGCCAATAGAGGAAGGGAGGAGGCTACAAGCCACGCCACGTGTCCCACTTAAGCCTCCCGAGAAAACTTGGCGGCTCTCGCCTCCCTACCCCCACATCGTTTCTAGGAGGTGGCGGAGCTCGCGGACCCCGCCTCGTGGTCCCTGCTGCCCCTGGAGGGGCCCCTGGAGATCGTGTCGCTCGTGGGGACCCTCAACCCCGAGGCGCACGTCCACGCGGCGCTGTCGGACGCGCGGGGCCGCGTGTGGGGCGGCCACGTCCTGGGGGAGCTGCGCGTCCACACCACAGCCGAGATCGTGGTGGGGGAGGCCGCGGGCCTCGCGTTTTCGCGCGCCCACGACCCCACCACGGGGTTCCCCGAGCTGTGCGTGGGGTCACGGGGCGAGCGCGAGACCGACACTCCTTGAGACGGAGGGCTCGGAGTGATTTGCGTTGCTCGTTGTTGTTCTTGGTCAGCCACGAGAGCCTTGCTGAACCACGTCGTGAGCCCTGTGTCATATGAACGGTGGCGAGATGTTAACTGCCTCGCGTGGTATGCAGGAGGTCGTGGGTTCCTGACGCCTGTATATTTGGAGTTTGCATGTTCTCCCCGTAGTCATGTGGATTTTTCTCCGGGTTCTCCGGATTTTCCCTCCATATTTAGAATCAACATGCGTTGAGAGTATTTGGCTGCTTTAAATTTCCACGTGATAAGCCACTTCGTTGAGCAATAATTAGTGGCCAGGTAGCTTAAGAGAATGAGCTACATAGCTCAGTGGGTCTTACCTAGTGAAATAAATAATAGTTTTATAGTTTGTAACATCGTGACCTCACATCTATGGGACCTTCTTTTGCCGGTATCAAAATAATGAAAAAGGAATAGGCTTAACCCTTCCCGACAATAATACAGGAGATGTTAAGATGATCCCATAAGATCAAACTGCTCAACGCGAGCTACGAATGCTGTGATATTTGCATTGCCTTTGTGATGTTGGCTGTTTGGCGTTGTTCTCTGGTCTAACACCGGTTGGTGAGACAAGGCCATAAAAGAAGCAGTAGCTCTAGTGTAGGCCAATCAGTTTGAAAGACAATGCATAATTTTTTTTAAAATCAAAGCGTGTTTGCATGTTTTACCACGAGCATGTGCGGTGAATGCAGACTTGATGATACCTTGAAATAGGTATCTGTTCGGTGTTTGAATATCTGAACACCTCAAGTTAGGGCGGCAATGCAGCGATGACGCTCGCACCTCACACCGATGGGCACCAGGTTCGAATCCCGACTTGGCAGCCTCTCTGTGTGGAGTTTGTATGTTCTCTGCCCCTGCTGTGCATGGGTTTCCGCCGGCACATTCAGTTTCCTCCCATGGATAAAACAAAAATGTGTAATTGGTACTCTCTGATTATTTCGGTAGAAACAATAAATAAAGAACACGACGTTTCGGTCGCAACACAAGCGTCCGTCACAGGTAAGAAAGAATGATCCGCTGCTACGTGACTTTACCGAAAGAACCAGAGAATATGGATTCCTGCAGTCACGAAAGCTTAAAATCAAGATTGTTTAATTGGTATTGGCCAAGCATCCAAATGCTGAGATATCACCTGAAAACTACGGTAACAAATACAAACATTATCTGTATAGCGTTCAACAGACCGTTGGAGCAAGTGCTGTTAGCGAGCACCTATGAAGGCCGGAAACGGCACACGAGGGGGTGGGTGGCCAACACCATGCCCAGCCGCCTTTGTCTCCCTAGTGGTGATGTTTACACACCGGACAAGGTACTCGTTTGAGGCTGAGTCGACTTTGGGGAGGCCCAGGACCGGTTCAGATAATCGTCACTGGTGTTGGCCGTGAGCGGGAATCGATCTCGCGTCGTTGGGTTCGTAGCGCAGCGTAGCGCTAACAGCTACACTACCGCTTCCCTACGGTTACACGGCACCAGCAGCCGCAACATCGCCGCCTACAGCGAAAAATGTAACAGGACCCTCCTGAAATAGTTTTGAGACTCGGTGATAATTGATAGAGTGAATAAACCGACGGATTCATCGTAAGTGGCCATGTGATCAATGGATGTGTTCTGCTGGAAACATTGTTCAATAAATGTGCTCCCAGGGCCCGAGTGCTGTGTTTGATGTATATGGTAGTGCTACGTCTCCAAGTATGATTAACCTCTGACCTCTCTGCGTCCATGATGGAGCCATGGCCAGAAAGTTGCCGGTTATATAAGAATGTTCCCTCTGAAGGGCCACAGTGCTTTTGACGAATATGTTCAGTTTTTGTAAATTGTGCTTGTGCACTACTGTCAATGCAGTATTGCCACTGTGCACGGTGGCGAGGAGATGTTAACTACCTCACTAGGTATACAGGAATGCGAGGGTTCGATCTCGATGCTGGCGGCCTGTAAGTATGCATGTTTTCCCCGTGTTAGCATGGATTTTTTCTACGGGTCCTCCAGTTTCCCCTCCACATTTAGAATCAACATGCGTTTTTGACTGCTATAAATTTCCACGTGATAAGCTACTTCGTTAAGCTATCATTTGTGATAGCCAGGTCGTTTCTGAAAAAAAATATCTACACAGCTCAGTGGGCCTTACAAATCAAATGCAAGTTTAAAAATAGTTTCGTTTTAGTATCGCCAAATAGTGTGATCCTGGGGTCATGGTGGCACTAATTTGGCAGTGCAATGACTATACAGACCATTCGGCTACTTACAATATCCGTCCATCCCTAAAATAGGCATCTTTACACATGCCATCAGCCACACACACGGCCTTCTCGGAATTCATCATACTCAGCAGCTTTGCTTCAATACGAGCAAAACTCTGGACCGCTTTTGACATTCGTCAGCGGTCAGGCTTGCGTGAACCAATGCTGAACTGGTTTGATGTGTACGGTATTCGCACGGTCCCTCATTGTTGGATAGGCATCCCGTTTGGACACTGAACTCTGCAATGCACAGCAACGCAACGCGACCATTGCGAGTCGCTGTGGACCACAGCCTACACGGAGTATTGGCGCCATTCGTCGAGCGCAAGGCTTTCCACGCAGGAACGGAGGGCGCTGCGTCTCTGCCTGGAGGTGCTTCGAACTGCTGCGTTGAGATAAATTAGATGATTTTGGTGCTATATATGTCCAAGTGATGTCACTTTGTTGGGCTATCATTCGTGGTGGGCAGGTCGCTTCTGAAAAAATAAGTTGATACCTCAGTGGGCTTCTGTGAAAAAATAGCTTTTTAGCTCAGAGGCCGTCCGGCGTCACAAAAAGTCAGACCCCCCCTCAAATATGACGTCACAAAGCTCTGCCTCCCCCCCCCAAATAAAACATGCTTCAAATCGCTTTAAACTATTGTCATTGTAGTGCGTATTTAATGTGGCGCTGCACTCTGATGTTGTAGGAGAAAACATTTATTAAAACGTCTATTTAATTAAGTATAACGTGTTGTCTATATTTATTTAAAGTTGCGCATTTGATGTGACGTCACATTTCTCAAACCCCCCCCCGTCACACATCGTCACAAATGTCTGACCCCCCCCCCCTAGGCGTGTGACGTCATTTATGAACGGCCCCTCATCGGATCCCTCCTGCAGGTATAAATCCATACTGTGTTCTGATTGGTCGTCGTCGTTGCGTTGTTTGCCCCCGCCGTCAGGGCCACGTGCCACCCCGCGCGAACGGAACTCATTGGGCAGATGGAGGGGGAAAAAACGCGGGAAAATCACAAGACGGCGGCGATGACCAATGGCGTTACGTCTAAGTCGACTCATGTTTATTCATGAGCCTCTTTCAAAATCGTTTTTTTATCACCTCATGCCATGAAGAGAAATGTTATTTTTATTCTGAAAAGATTATTTCAAAGCCAGCGGTGTAATTCAAGGTTTTAAATGCGTAATTTTGAATCTATGTACAAAAAAATATTTCCCGTCAAAGCCTCGAGGTTGCGGGCGGAGGTTGCGGGTTAAAGGTGAGGCCGTCTCTTCCGGCCTGGGGTGGTCACAGCGGCGCCGAGAGAGAGAGACTCGTTCGCACAACGGGAAGCATAAATGGGGGTCCCGGCCTTCTTCAGGTGGCTCAGCAAGAAGTACCCCTCTATCGTGGTGAACTGCGTAGAAGAGAAGGTGAGCGGGCACCGCGCCCACCAGCGTTTCGGTGGCTAGGCCAAGGCGGTTTCTTAGGGTCCGTGGGCGGCGTGGTCAACACGGACTAGTCCCGCGGAATAACAACTAGGCCTCGCGGAGGAAGGCAACTCCGCCTCCTTCCCACAGACGCGTGTCCGCCTAAAACTTAAGGGCGTTCATTTACGCATCCCATCGGCCACACGGGCCTTATTTTCCGAGTGCCGTAATTCCGGAAAGCGTTGGCTCGGCGCAAGAAAAAAAACGCTTGACCGGTTTCGACATTTGGTGCTTCATCAGCAGAGTTGGGCTTGCGTGAACCCAATGCTGGTGGCCTCCCAGATGTTGTCAATGTTGGGTCCCGAGTTTGACCAAAAATGCACCGCACGATCGTTCGTGTCGTCGTGGAGAATGGAGTACATCAGCGGGTCTTCTTAACCCTGGGGTGCATCACGCCACCCCCCGGGAGTGCGAGATATCCTTTCTGGGGTGCGAGATATGGGCAGATCTTTTTTTTTAGTAGGTAAATCATCGAAACAAACGAACCACGGGCACGTAGGTACAACTAATTTGTTTAATCAAACCCTATGTATTTGTTAACACATTTTTGAAAGATTGACAACGAAAGGAGTGCAAGGCTGCAGTAAAGGTTAAGAACCACTGCTTTATACGCAGCGCACGGCTATGGTCACGAAGCAAGGGGCCGCTGTGAGAGCCACTGCGATGGGGTGGGGGTTTGTGGCAGCGTAATGCGACACATCGGGGCCCCGAATCAACACATAAACAAGTAACAATAAATGCCAAAAAAACAACATTGTTACAAAAGATAAACATTTCCGAAAAAATACATTGAGCTTAAAATATCGTAGCGCTACTGCTGGTGTTTGTTACTGAACACCAGCCAGGGTGGTTTGCTCTGGCATACGCATGAAAGCAATACGCACGATAACTTGATTTTTGTGAGTATTGTTAACGTTATTTATGTTTTTATTAACACTGCCACTGTGAGACTGTCTTCCTCTTAACCCAATTTACGTTGCAACTAAAATAATATATACAGTATAGTTATGGCCTACAGTATTACTATATAGGGGTAAAACCGGGGGGGGCCCACAGTCGGATCTTGCACCCCCCCCGTTGTAATCGGGAGTTTCGCCCCTGGCTGCTGTGTTTCACAGACGGCTTTCATTTGCGTTCGTTTCACACTCGGGGGGCCAACGTTCCAGTGTTGTCACAGTTTACATAATTTGCCAATACTTAAAAAAAAGTGTACCGTGACGCGGGAACACAAAGGCCCACTCTTTTTCGGATAACGTCACTAGAAATATAACGTCAGCTGAAACGGGCGGCGCTCAGTATTTGATGGTGAATATATCCGCGGTATTGACCGTGGCGGCCGTGGGTCGTTAACCGCGAACCTCTTGTCACGAGCGGCGAACACGCGACCGTGTAACCGGCCCGAATGGTGGTGGAGACAGACTGCGACGATGATGATAGTCGTGATGATGGTGGTTATGATGTTGATGGTCATGATGGTAGTGGTTGGTGATAGTTGTTTGAGGAGCGGTAGTGCAACGGTTAGTGCGCTGCACTACGAACCTGGCGACACGAGATCAATTCCCACTCACGGCCAACACCAGGTGACTTATCTGAATCGGTCCTGGGCCTCCCCTAGGTTGATTCAGCCTCAAATGAGTACCTGGTGCAGTGTGTAAAACATCGCCTTGGGGAGACAAAGGCGGTCAGGAGTCATGCTGGCCCACCCCACCCCCTTGTGTGCCGTGCTGGCCTCCATAGGTACTCGCAACCAGCCCTTGCCCCAACAGTCTGTTAAGGCTATATGGCGGATTTTTGTCTTTTGTAATAGTTGTGATAGCAATTCAGCACAGGCCCAAGGCCCATGATATCAAATGGTCAGTAACAAACAGCACTGTCTATTTTTCGTAGATAACATTAAACACTTTTTTATTGAACCGAGGTTATTATAAGAGTTTGGGAAAAGAGACTATGGGAGGGAGTTTCAAAGTGGAGCAGTGTGAAGAAAGAAGCAGAAATAGAAGCATCTTAACCTGCAGTGTGGTGAGCAAGTGACCTGAGTGTATTTTGTGAGTGAGTTGTTGTGACCTCTTAAGTGTTGAACACAGTACGGGTGAAACAAAGCAGTCGGTCTCGTAGATTGTCCTCAACATCGGTGGAGTAATCAATGAGCTGAATGCATGGAAATCAAATGAGTGACGTTCAAGAAGAGTGATAAGGAGGTGGCTGGCTGCCAGAGGGCGAGTGGCCAAAGTAAATCGGTGAGTGTTGGAGTATAAATCATCCTGGCTGCTTTTCATTGAATTCTATCTCATCCATTGAAGTAGGGACTGCGTGCTCCTGCCTAGATATGGGCCAGAGTGTGTGGAATGTATGTTAGGTCGTGGCGCTGTACCTCATGTGTTGGGCTATGTCGTGAACACGATCTCGCCGTGGTGCATGCCGTGCAGTTGCGGGAGGTCAATGGCGTCCGCATCCCCGTGGACACGAGCAAGCCCAACCCCAACGAGGTCGAGTTCGACAACCTCTACCTGGACATGAATGGCATCATCCACCCCTGCACGCACCCCGAGGACAAGTAAGAGCCCACACCAAGCACAGCCAATTCCGCTCCACATCAAAGCCGAGCCACACAGGACGACCCTCGTCAAAGGCTCACCATGCTTTGTCACGCAGAGTCTTGCCACCTCTCATCACACGCAAGTCACGCCGATTCCCATGGAATCGCAGCGACCTGCACCGACACGTACTCAACCAAGACGAGCCACACCACGTTTATCTCCCCCCCCCACCACCCAGGCCGGCGCCCAAGAACGAGGATGAGATGATGGTGGCGATCTTCGAGTACATCGACCGACTCTTCAGCATCGTGCGGCCCCGCCGCCTGCTGTATATGGCCATCGATGGCGTAGTGAGTGAGCTTCCATTCACCGCGCTCGCAGGCACCACGGTGGCCGCTCTCGCGGGCTCTGCTAACGGGAGCATTTTCCGGAGGCCCCGAGGAGATGAGGGTTCTTAACGTCCCCTGGCTAATAAACTCCTTGCGGCGGAGCCAGGAGACAACTTCCTTTCGGGGTTCCTCCAGAAACAACAGGCGGTCGCTACAGCTGGCCGCGGGGAACGTCCGAACGCTCCCTGGGGAGGGGAGGGGAGTGACCGGCTACCATTCCTCAGTCGGGAGCTGAATCGGTACCTCCTGGATCTCTGGAATATAGGTGTACTAGTTTTGGCTCCTCTCACAATGAGGTGGATGCAGCCCTCTACTCTATCCTCCAATCAACAGGATAAGATCAGGCAACCGGAAATGGCTCTTCTGTTGTGGGCTCACCTACACACGAGGTGTTTGCTTGCTTATACACCCACTCATGTGTGTCTGTTTCTGTGTGCATGACTGTTTGTGGCCGTGTGTGATTATATTTACGTGTGTTAGTGTATCTCCTGCTCCAGCTTGTAAGATTCAGGCTGGCCTGTCTGGCTGAATTGTGTGTGGCTGTGTGAATTTGTTCGACACGTCACGTGGCCTCAAGGTGCACAAGCGTTGTGGTGACGTTACCGCCATTTAGTGGAGAATGGCGGTTGTTGTGTTTATGGATATCTCGCCATGTGTCTACGCGTGTGTCTCAGGCTGTAGTATAGCGGGTAGCGCGGTGTGCTCCGAACCCGGTGACCCGAGTTCGATTCTCGCTCATGGTCAACACCAGTGACTATTATATGAACCGTTCCTGTGCGTCCCCTAGGTTGACTCAAACTAAAATGAGTACCTGGTGCGATGTGTAAATATCACCACTAGGGAGACAAAGGCAGCTGAGCGTGGTGCTGGCCACCTACCCCCTCGTGTGCCCTTCCGGCCTTAATAGGTGCTCGCTCACAGCACTTGCCGCAACAGTCTGTTAAGGCCATATGGGGATCTTTGTGTGTGACTGTCTAGATATGTGTTCGTGTGTGTGTGTTTATGGATATCGCTACGTGTCTACGTGTGTGTGTCTCAGGCTCCCCGGGCCAAGATGAACCAGCAGCGGTCACGCCGCTTCCGCGCCTCTAAGGAGGGGCAGGAGATGACGGCTGACAAGAAGCGAATCCGGGAGGAGATCCTCCAGAAGGGTGCGGAATGACGCATGCAAGGGCACACACATGGATGACGAGCGATGGACACACGCATGCACAAAACAAAGACAAAGATCCCCCGTATAGCCTTAACATAATTTTGGGGCAAGTCCTGTTAGCCGATGCATAGTCCACCTCGAGGATTGCCCAGGACCAGTTCAGATAATGTTCACTGGTGTTGATGGCCGTGAGCGAGACTCTAACTCAGGTTGCCGGGTTCGTAGCGTAGCTCGTTAACCGCTACAGTGAGGGAAAAAAGTATTTGATCCCCTGCTGATTTTGTATGTTTGCCCACTGACAAAGAAATGATCAGTCCATAATTTTAATGATAGGTTTATTTGAACAGTGAGAGACGGAATAACAACAAAAACATCCAGAAAAACGCATGTCAAAAATGTTATAAATTAATTTGCATTTTAATGAGGGAAATAAGTATTTGACCCCTCTGCAAAACATGACTTATACTTGGTGGCAAAACCCTTGTTGGCAATCAGAGAGGTCAGACGTTTCTTGTAGTTGGCCACCAGGTTTGCACACATCTCAGGAGGGATTTTGTACCACTCCTCTTTGCAGATCTTCTCCAAGTCATTAAAGTTTCGAGGCTGACGTTTGGCAACTCGAACCTTCAGCTCCCTCCACAGATTTTCTATGGGATTAAGGTCTGGAGACTGGCTAGGCCACTCCAGGACCTTCATGTGCTTCTTCTTGAGCCACTTCTTTGTTGCCTTGGCCGTGTGTTTTGGGTCATTGTCATGCTGGAGTGCCCATCCACGACCCATTTTCAATGCCCTGGCTGAGGGAAGGAGGTTCTCACCCAAGATTTGACGGTACATGGCCCCGTCCATCGTCCCTTTGATGCGGTGAAGTTGTCCTGTCCCCTTAGTAGAAAAACACCCCCAAAGCATAATGTTTCCACCTCCATGTTTGACGGTGGGGATGGTGTTCTTGGGGTCATAGGCAGCATTCCTCCTCCAAACATGGCGAGTTGAGTTGATGCCAAACAGCTCCATTTTGGTCTCATCTGACCACAACACTTTCACCCAGTTGTCCTCTGAATCATTCAGATGTTCATTGGCAAACTTCAGACGGGCATGTATATGTGCTTTCTTGAGCAGGGGGGCCTTGCGGGCGCTGCAGGATTTCAGTCCTTCACGGCGTAGTGTGTTACCAATTGTTTTCTTGGTGACTATGGTGCCAGCTGCCTTGAGATCATTGACAAGATCCTCCCGTGTAGTTCTGGGCTAATTCCTCACCGTTCTCATGATCATTGCAACTCCACGAGGTGAGATCTTGCATGGAGCCCCAGGCCGAGGGAGATTGACAGTTATTTTGTGATTCTTCCATTTGCGAATAATAGCACCAACTGTTGTCACCTTCTCACCAAGCTGCTTGGCAATGGTCTTGTAGCCCATTCCAGCCTTGTGTAGGTCTACAATCTTGTCCCTGACATCCTTGGAGAGCTCTTTGGCCTTGGCCATGGTGGAGAGTTTGGAATCTGATTGATTGATTGCTTCTGTGGACAGGTGTCTTTTATACAGATAACAAGCTGAGATTAGGAGCACTCCCTTTAAGAGTGTGGTCCTAATCTCAGCTCGTTGCCTGTATAAAAGACACCTGGGAGCCAGAAATCTTACTGATTGAGAGGGGGTCAAATACTTATTTCCCTCATTAAATGCAAATCAATTTATAAAATTTTTGACATGCGTTTTTCTGGATTTTATTATTCTCTCTCTCACTGTTCAAATAAACCTACCATTAAAATTATAGACTGATCATTTCTTTGTCAGTGGGCACACGTACAAAATCAGCAGGGGATCAAATACTTTTTTCCCTCACTGTACACAACCTTTAGACAAAAACCCCCGTAAAGCCTTCACAGACTTTTGGGGCAAGTGCTGTTAGCGAACAACTCTGAAGGCTTGCACGGCACACGAGGTGGTGGGTGGCCAACACCATGCCCGGCCTCCTTTGTTTCCCTAGTAGCCGTGTTTACACACCGCACAAGGTACTCATTTGAGGCTGAGTCAACCTAGGGGATGTCCAGGACCGGTTCAGATAATCGTCATCGATGTTGGTTGTGAGCAGGAGTCGAACTCGGGTCGCCAGGTTCGTAGCACAGCGCACTAACCGCTACACTACCGCTCACCACACTTCCGCACATGGACGCTCATTTACACACATGCACAGACACATGCGCAGGCACGGATACACATACGCAGACACATTTGCACATCCACGGACACCCAGAGATGGACACGAGGACCTAGACACACGTATACACATACAAGGACACACATAGATGTACAAACACAGACCCGTCCATCATACACATCAGCCAACCCATAATAATTATGAAGGCGCAGCTTTAAAAGACGCATGTCATTTGCCAATAGTTACTAAGTGTGATTCTAATTGAATAATTTGCGGATAAGTTTTCAAATTTGAACCATGATGCCGTCGCACAATGGCCTACTCTTGTGAATGATGTCAGGGAACCTTCAACGTTCACTGTGAGCAGACAACTCGGATATTTATCGTTATTAAACACTGGCTGTAATAATCAGGGTGGCCTGCAGGATTAAAAGCCACGAACCTCTACAACAACTGGTGAACGTGCTAACGCTTGGCCACGTCACCCCCCCTCCCCGGTTGCATGACATTAACTCTATACGCTCACACACGACACCGCTATTACCCCTATATCCCTTCACCCTGCATGCTGTGACTACCACAACCCATTGACTCAGAGCACTGCCGGGATAACCTCCGCCTCTTTTCCCGCTACCCCAGGTGGTTTTCTCCCTCCGGAAGAGGCCAAGGAGCGGTTCGACAGCAACTGCATCACCCCCGTGAGTCCTGCCCTGCCACCAGGACTCACTGCCTGAGCTCCATTTACCCATTTATTAACACTGATGTGGTGGCGGTGAACATTGATGACCACTGTGTTCATGAGTCCTAATTAGGACGACACTGGTCTATGGTGTTCCATTTCACCGCTCCCGGTTGAGATGATTGCCATAATTTTTCAACTCGTGTTAAGTTTTTTTTCTTTCCGCCAATGTTGCTGTTGTGTTGAGCTCGTTTATCATTTAGAGATTTTAGTTGACCCTTGCGTGGATTCCCGTGACCCGCCATGATAGCTACCTTGAGGCTGCCGATTGATCTCCTGGCCGGCCCCTGTTAGAAGCCGCTCCCTGTGTGCTCAAGGCATTTAAAGTTAATTAAACAATCAGCCTCATTATCATTACGCTTGTTTACCAGGGAAATCCTTGAGGATCATGCGCAGTAGGGGGCGATGTTGCTACTGTGCCTAATTCCGATTGAGCGACTTGCAGGCGATGTTTCAGCAGTGGGAGGTTTGGCCATTACCTGTTGCACTTTGGTGTATTAGCTCTTAAATACTCGACGTGCTTTGTCAGTCCACTGATGGACGAGCACCTCCCCCACACCATGCCGATCGTAGGGGTTAGTTGACCGCAATTCATGTTGATCAATGTGGGTTCGTAAAGTGGTGAGTGTGAGGAGGCGGTGGGGGTGGGGAGTGGTGAGCGTGGGTGGTGACACGACCTCATTCCCCCTCTACCGTTGGTCCTACTCTTCCTGCCCCCCCCCCCCCCCCCCCATGCTCCCCACAGGGCACAGAGTTCATGTCCAACTTGGCCAAGTGTCTGCGCTACTATGTGGCCGAGAGACTGAACAGTGACCCGGGCTGGCGCAACATCGCGGTAAGGATATCACACCACTCCCTGGCAGCCTCGCAGCTCTCTGATAGCCTCACCCTTTTCTGACAGCCTCACCACTCCCTGTCAACCCCATCACTCGCCCTCCACCCTACCGTTCCATCCTCCCCCATCACTCTCTTGTCATTCCCACCACTCCCTGCAGCTCCGTTGAGGTCATGACACTCTTTGGCCATGATACGGCAACCGCCGTGCTGTGGCTGTGTCATGATGCGGCTGTGCCATTATCTGCCAGACTCACTGTGGCAGTTTTACGGTGTGGCTGACGTGCGCTGTGGTTGTGTCACGGTGTGGCGTGAGCAGGTGATCCTGTCGGATGCCAGCGTGCCAGGCGAGGGGGAGCACAAAATCATGGACTTCATTCGCAGACAGAGAGGTGAGGCGCAATAGAGACTTGTAAACACACACCTATACATACATGCGTATAAACACACACGTACACACATGTGTACACACATACATTTGTACACACGCACACACATACGAACACATACAAAGATCCCCCATGTAGCCTTTTAACAGACTTTTGGAGCAAGTGCTGCTAGCGAGCACCTATAAAGGCCTGCATGGCACACGAGAGGTGGGTGGCCAGCACCATGCCTGGCCGCCTTTGTCTCCCTGGTGGTTAAGTTTATACACAGGACCAGGTGCTCATTTGAGGCTGAGTAGACCTAGGGGAGGCCTAAGACTGGTTCAGATATTGGTCACTGATGTTGGTCGCGAGTGGGAATCGAACTCTGTTTGCTGTGTTCATAGCACAGCCCGCGAACCGTAACACTACCGCTCACATACGCACACGTAAACACGTGCACACAGATACAGTGAGGGAAAAAAGTATTTGATCCCCTGCTGATTTTGTACGTTTGTCCACTGACAAAGAAATGATCAGTCTATAATTCTAATGGTAGGTTTATTTGAACAGTGAGAGACAGAATAACAACAAAAATCCAGAAAAACTCATGTCAAAAATGTTGTAAATTGATTGGCATTTTAATGAGGGAAATAAGTATTTGACCCCTCTGCAAAACATGACTTAGTACTTGGTTGCAAAACCCTTTTTGGCAATCACAGAGGTCAGATGTTTCTTGCAGTTGGCCACCAGGTTTGCACACATCTCAGGAGGGATTTTGTCCCACTCCTCTTTGCAGATCTTCTCCAAGTCATTAAGGTTTCGAAGCTGACGTTTGGCAACTCGAACCTTCAGCTCCCTCCACAGATTTTCTATGGGATTAAGGTCTGGAGACTGGCTAGGCCACTCCAGGACCTTCATGTGCTTCTTCTTGAGCCACTCGTTTGTAGCCTTGGCCGTGTGTTTTGGGTCATTGTCATGCTGGAATACCCATCCACGACCCATTTCAATTCCCTGGCTGAGGGAAGGAGGTTCTCACCCAAGATTTGACGGTACATGGCCCCGTCCATTGTCCCTTTGATGCGGTGAAGTTGTCCTCTCCCCTTAGCAGAAAAACACCCCCAAAGCATAATGTTTCTACCTCCATGTTTGATGGTGGGGATGGTGTTCTTGGGGTCATAGGCAGCATTCCTCTTCCAAACACGGCGAGTTGAGTTGATGCCAAACAGCTCCATTTTGGTCTCATCTGACCACAACACTTTCACCCAGTTGTCCTCTGAATCATTCAGATGTTCATTGGCAAACTTCAGACGGGCATGTATATGTGCTTTCTTGAGCAGGGGGGCCTTGCGGGCGCTGCAGGATTTCAGTCCTTCACGGCGTAGTGTGTTACCAATTGTTTTCTTGGTGACTATGGTGCCAGCTGCCTTGAGGTCATTGACAAGATCCTCCCGTGTAGTTCTGGGCTAATTCCTCACTGTTCTCATGATCATTGCAACTCCACGAGGTGAGATCTTGCATGGAGCCCCAGGCCGAGGGAGATTGACAGTTCTTTTGTGTTTCTTCCATTTGCGAATAATCGCACCAACTGTTGTCACCTTCTCACCAAGCTGCTTGGCAATGGTCTTGTAGCCCATTCCAGCCTTGTGTAGGTCTACAATCTTGTCCCTGACATCCTTGGAGAGCTCTTTGGTCTTGGCCATGGTAGAGAGTTTGGAATCTGATTGATTGATTGCTTCTCTGGACAGGTGTCTTTTATACAGGTAACAAGCTGAGATTAGGAGCACTCCCTTTAAGAGTGTGCTCCTAATCTCAGCTCGTTACCTGTATAAAAGACACCAGGGAGCCACAAATCTTACTGATTGAGAGGGGGTCAAATACTTATTTCCCTCATTAAATGCAAATCAATTTATAAAATTTTTGACATGCGTTTTTCTGGATTTTGTTGTTGTTATTCTGTCTCTCACTGTTCAAATAAACCTACCATTAAAATTATAGACTGATCATTTCTTTGTCAGTGGGCAAACGTACAAAATTAGCAGGGGATCAAATACTTTTTTTCCCTCACTGTATATACTCGGATCCACTTACACGCTTATGCAAGCAAATGTACACACGCAGATACATGTATACAAAGACAAATGCCAAGATCCCCCTTAACAGACTTGGCAAGTGTTGTTTGCGAGCACCTATAAAGGCGAGAACTATGACGCATGAGGGTTGGGTGGCCAGCACCACGCCCCACTGCCAATGTCTCCTTAGTGCTGATGTTTACACAACTTGCTTCATCAGGCTGAGTTGACCTAAACGGGGTCCACTACTAGTTCAGGCACTCACCACTGTTGGCAGTGAGCCTGAATAGAACTCTGGTCGCTGGGTTCGTAGCACGGTGCGCTAAGCACTGTAACACTGCTCCCCATACACGCAGATAAACACGTGAACACAGATACGCACATTTATACATTGCAATGAATGGTAGCGCCTCTGTTGGCTGCAGGGGGGGTGGGTGTTTTGCTGATGTCTCTGCTGCGTCTGCTTTCCCTACAGCTCAACCGAACCACGACCCCAACACCCACCATTGCCTGTGCGGCGCTGACGGTGAGACGCCCCCCCGCCTAAAAACCCAAGCGAGAGCCGACCATCATCACAAGCGTCCCTTATAGTCATGCATGTGGACTCTTTGTGTCTGTGTGTTTGGTTTGGGTGTCTGTTTGGATTATGTGTCTGGGTGTCTGTGTTTGGGCTGTGTGTCTTGTGTAGCTGTACTCAGTGTGTGTTTGTCCATAGTGAATGAGTTGTGGTTCTCTGCCCACACAGCGGACCTCATCATGTTGGGGCTGGCAACGCATGAGCCCAAATTCACGATCATCCGTGAGGAGTTCAAGCCCAACCAGCAGCGGCCGTGCGCACTCTGCTCTCAGTTTGGACACGAGCTCAAGGACTGCGAGGGGCTGCCCCGCGAAAAGCAGGGCAAGGTGCGGATACATGGGGGGAGACACAGGGACACGGTGGGGTGGTAGCGGGGGGGATATAGGTACACAGGTGAAGACAATGGGACAGAGGGGGACACACGGACACAAGATGAAGGACTGAGAGGCAACTTGCGGAGATGCGATGGGGGGGGAGGGGGATACAAGAAAAAAAGTGGACACCTGAAAAAACATGGGCATTTGGGGGCACAGGGGGACACCTGGGGACATAGGTGCACTCATGCAGTGCACACAGGTGTATGCTGTGTTGTGGTTAAGCATAACCATTCGCGTGTTGTGTTGTCTTCCCGTGTGTTTCCCCGTGGCAGCATGACGAGTTTGCTGACCTCCCACCCGGTTCGGAGCAGGATTTCATCTTCCTTAGACTCAACATTCTGCGCGAGGTGGGGTTTCGCAGCTCCTGGTCACGTGTCTGTCTGCACATTTGTTCATGTGTTTCTGTGTGTGATGATCCTGACCCTTTGCTCACAATCATTAAGGACCTTCATGATTGTGGGCAGGGTTGCGAAAAGCTAATGTCTCCTGGAGTCGGAGCCTTTTCACCTTGGACGCTCCTGAGCAGTTGCCGGGAGTTGCCCTCCAACAACAGAGGACAGAGGAGCGCTGCTCACAGCAATGAGCAGAAGACAAGGTGGCTAAAATGCAACGAGGTGGCACAGTAGAGACAACAGGTGGTGCATCTGTCAGTCATCTCAGTCAACTCATGGCACCTGGGTGTGTCCCCTGACTTCCTTCCAGCGATCGTTCGACACTTTACGTGGCCTTAAAGTGCACATAGCCTAGCACAAGCGCCGTGGTGAAGTCGCCGCCACTAAATCACATGGCAGTTGCTATTGTATGCACATGTGTGTACTCAAGTGTTTGTGTACTCACGTGTGTACGGTGAATATCTGAACTGGTCCTGGGTCTCCCCATGTCGACTCACCCTTAAATAAGTACCTAGTGTGGTGTGCAAAATATCAGCACTGGGAAGACAAAGACAGCCTAGCCTGGTCGCTGGCCACCCAGCTCCTCGTGCCGGTCTTCATCGGTGCAACTTGCTAACAGCACTTGCCCCACAGTCGATTAAGGCTACACGGGGAATCTTTGTCATTATACTCACCAGTGTGCATGGTTTTGACCCCGAACCTCTGCAACGTACGGCCAACGCGCTGCCGCTCAGCCGCGTTACCGTCAAGGTGACTCTTTCCGACGACGGCTGTCATGCAGTGTCGGCTGTGCGCGTGGCCACCTGTAATCCAGTACTGTCTGTTCTCCTATAACGCCGCGTGTTGTTTTCATAACGCGAATTGGATATAACACAATCGAGTGCACAGAACTACTTTGAGGAGGAATAAGCGGTCATGCGTCTGTCTTGGCGTAGCATCGCACAAGACGGGATGCTGCTGGGACCTTCTAGATCAGGGGTCGGCAACCTATGGCTCGCGAGCCAGATGTGGCTCTTTTGATGACTGCATCTGGCTCGCAAATAAATCTTAGCTGACATTTCTTAACATGATAAGTAATGAATAATTCCGCTGACATTAAAGTAAAACAGTACAGAAATCACAGTGTTAAAAATAACGTTTGAAATATAAAACATTCCCATGCATTTTAATCCATCCATCCATTTTCTACCGCTCCTGCTCAGGGTTGCAGGTGGCTCAGCCAATCCCAGCTGTCCGACACCAAAATTCTATTTTTATTGGATAATGCGGTAGCCTACGGGTCGTTGTGAGGTCAAGAAGTAAACTTCCGTCCTTTTAATCAAATAGTCAGCTAGCTAATTTATGCAGAGCAAACCCTTTTGATGAAGATGGCGAAAAGAAAAAAACAGGAGTATCGCACATTTCAGCACGAATGGACAGAAGAATTCGCCTTTGTGGAGAGAGTAGGTTCTGCGGTGTGTCTAATATGCAGTGATAAAATTTCATTGATGAAACGGTCAAATATAAAGCGGCACTTCCGACACGCCATGCTACATTTGCATCGAAATATCCAGCGGGGGACAGCAGAAAGAAGGCATGCCAAGAGCTACTGTCCAGAGTGCAAGCTAGTCAGCAGCAACTCCGTGTATGGACCAGACAAGGTGATTGGAATTCAGCTAGCTTTGCTGGTTCTTTAGCAATTGTGAGGAACGGAAAGCCATTCACAGATGGCGAGTATGCCAAAACATTCATGCTTGATGTGGCCAACGAACTTTTTGATGACTTTTCGGATTAAGACAAGATAATCAAACGAATAAAAAACATGCCTCTGTCAGCAAAAACTGTTCACGATCATACCATAATGATGGCAAATCAAGTGGAGGAAACACAAGTGAAGGACATAAATGCAGCGCCATACTTTTCCCTCGCTTTGGATGAGTCAACAGACGTAAGTCATTCAATCTGAGTACGACGTTTTGCCAGTAATTACAACTAGCTTCATCAGGCGGCAGCCAGATTTGTGGAGAAGTCTTACTCTTTCGTTCCTTATATAGATGCGTAGATGTTGTGACCACGCTTCTGCGCTCTTGCGCAAAGTGGGGGGGGGGGGGATTACTGAGTCAACGTACATTATGCATGTGGTTAAACCTTGACTTCAAGCTTTCGTGACTGCAGGAATTAATATTCTTGGGTCTTTCGGTAAAGTCACGTAGATAGGTTCAAGTAAAATATTTTTTTTGTTATTTTATTTGAACCTATCTACGTAACTTTACCGAAAGACTCAAAAATATTATGCATGTGCATTATGCGGGCCCTTTGATCTTGTCCTTCCTGTCTTTTGTGACAACCCTTACTAGTTGGCTGTGTCGGGTGGTGGCGGGTTTTAACAACACATTTACGCGATCTAACCCAAAAAACCTCTTATAGATATTGTGAAACTTGTGTCTTGTGGGTTGGCGTCCAGGAGGTGCTATACCCTGTCTTGCCAGGAGAAGGCGGTACCTACAAGTGAACCAATTTCCATCTGTTTCAAGCTGTACAGGGATAGTGTTTTTCCCTCGCACACGTGGGTTTTCTCCGGGTGCTCCGGTTTCCTCCCACATAATAAGCACCCAATTATTTGGCTGAAAACATCTTAAAATAAAAAAAAAACCCATTGCTGAACCCTCTTAAAAAAGAGTCCAGTGCAGCTCACCTGGATAATTAAGTCATTATTACGTTATTAGTGTATTATTAAGCATCATTCCACGGTTGCCACCCCTGCCCTGTGTCCCGTCCACTAGTACCTGGAGCGGGAGCTCACTATGGCGAGCCTGCCCTTCCCCTTCGACCTGGAGAGGAGCATTGACGACTGGGTCTTCATGTGCTTCTTTGTCGGAAACGACTTCCTTCCGCACCTGCCTTCCCTGGAGATCCGGTGAGGCCGAATTTCTGTCCCGTGACCTGCCAGCAGACATTCGACACTTGACTTGGCCTTAATGTGCGCACAGCCTGGCACAAGCGCCATGGTGATGTCACCGCCACTTAGTGGTGAATGGCGGTTGTTGTTCTTGAATGTGGTTGGGGTTGTGATGTTGATGGTGGTGATGATGATGGTTGTGATGTCTTCATGTGTGCCAGGGAGGGAGCCATCGATCGCCTCGTCGGCATCTACAAGAACGTTGTTCACCGCACAGGGGTGAGGGCAGCCCTGCGTGCGTGCACGTGTCTGTGTGTGTGTTTGACCAGATAGAGGGGGATAAATGGGCACGGCATGGGCTAGAGAAGAGATGGAGCTGATGTGGTACAGGAAGACGTGGAGCTGAGTGGACTTGCCGATGACTGGTACCACCGATGTCAAGATCGGCCTCTGTGGAGGAGACGGATGCTAATTGTGGGCAGATGAGCAACGCTCACAACGAGCAGAGCACCGAGAAGTTTAAACACAACGTCTTGGCACAGCGAGGAGCACAGGTAGTTCATCTCAGTCACCCCATAGCACCTGGGTCTGTTCCATGTCCAACCTGCCAACAGCGAGCCACCCACATTTCACGTGGCCTCAAAGTGTGCCTAGCCTGACACAGGCACTGTGGTGACATCACCGCCACTTAGTGGCGAACAGCGTCTGTTGTCTGCCTGTGCATATGTGAATGTAGGGCTGCCTGTGGGGAGTGGTAGTGTAGCGGTTCGCGCTCTGCTACGAACCTGGTGACCCGAGTTCTATTCCCGCTCACGGCCAACACCAGTGACGATGGTCTGAACCGGTCCTGGGCCTCGACTAGGTCGACTCAGCCTTTAATGAGTACCTTGTGCGATGTGTAAACTTCGCCACTCGGGAGATAAAGGCGGTTGGGTGTGGTGCTTGCCACCCACCCCCTCGTCTGCCATGCTGGCCTTTTTTAGGTACTACTCGCTGCTATCAGCACTTCCCCCAACAATCCGTTGAGGGTACACGAAGGAGTCTTTGTGTGTGCGTGCAGGGCTACCTGACGAACAGTGGCTACGTGAACCTGGAGCGCGTGCAGCTCGTGATGGAGGCGCTGGGGGAGATGGAGGACGCCATCTTCAAGAAGCGGCGCACTGACGACGTGAGCTCCCACCCCCCCTCCCCACCTTGTTAGCTCCTCGTCGCGATTGCAGACAATGTGCGTGAGCACACTGACCATGCGTTTCCCCGGGAAGTGGTGGCACAGTGGTTAACGCGCTGCGCTACGAACCCAGTGACCCGCGTTCAAATTCACTCTCCCGGCCAACATCCGTGACGAATAGCCAAACCGGACCTAGGTCTCCTCTAGTTGGACTCGGCCTTTGCCAAGTACCCAGTGCGGTGTGTAAACATCGCCACTGGGGAGACGAAGGTGGCCGGGCGTGTTTCTGGCCACCCACCCCCACGTGTGCCATACTGACCTTTATAGGTGCTCGCTAACAGAACTTACCCCAACAGTCTGTTAAGGCTATACGAGAGGGGTCTTTGTCTTGGTGTGTGCGTGTGCGCCCACAGTTGGATTTCAAACGTCGTCAGAAGGACAGAAAGAAGCGGATGAAGCGGGTGAGTGAACTTCATAAGCGTCACCAGACAGCGGGCAGCTTTGGTTGAAGCAAGTAAACCGAACTGCTGATGAGACACTGAATGTCAAAACCATTCGAGAGTTTTTATGGTGTTGAACCAACATTCCAGATAGGATGCACTCCCAGAGAGTTTCGTGTGGCCGATGGGATGTGTTGAACAAAATTATTTATTGGCGGCAAAGTGGTGCCCTGGGTTCAGTTATGAACTTGGGAGCCTTTTCTTTGTGGAGTTTGTAGGATCTCCTGTTCTGCATGGGTTTCCTCTGGGTGCAATTTATTCACATCGTTAGACAGATTTTGACCTCTTGGCCAAACATCCCATAGCTGAAACCTTAACTACAAATTACTCAATTTGCAGCAGAAGCAACATCGCCCCCTACTGCGGAAAAATTGGCGGGACTCTCCTGAAAAAGAGTTGAGACTGTTCTTCTTTGGTTCTTTCGGTAAAGTCACGTAGAATGAGAATAATAAACTAAAATAAGACAATAAAATTCTCACGACGTTTCGGCCACAACACAAGTAACCTTCAGGTGAAAGAACAGAACTGTCGGGACGACAGTGCTTCAATGAGCGCTGCTAAGATTTGTAGCGTCTTTTAAGCTCGGTGAGAGGCGTGGAGCGCCTTGACAAAGGAGTTTACATATCAACGCAGGAGAATTTAGCATTGAAATAGCTGAGGGATTAGCTTGTGACAGAAATACTGTGTTAAAGTCAAAGTTTACATATCAACAGAGGCATTTAGTATATACTACTTCAATGCTAAAGAACCAAAGAAGATGAATCCTTGCAGTCACGAAAGCTTTAAATCGAAAGTTGAGACTGTTTGCTGGGTAAACGAGCGTAAGTAAATAACAATTAATAAATAAATAGGTCATTCCATGGTTAATGTTTTTAATCTTTTCCACGAAAACTACTGTTAACCGAAATAACTGTGAATCGAATTCACTTACAGATTTTAAAAAAAGTGAGTCACTGTGTTTGCGAGAGAGCTGTCTCTACTTCCAAAACATAAAACACGATGTAAACAAACCATTCGAGGTCCAAACACTCTTTGGCAGAGGGCATGGCTCAGCTCCAGTTACGAGTGCTCGGATTGGTCGAATTTGGCGCCCGCATGCATAATGTAAACATATTGTTAGTAAACATGTTAATGTCAGTCGAAACCATGGGGTCCTTATGTGAGGCGAAATGTTAACCTGAAAAACCGTTAGCCAAAGTCACTTTACCGAGTGACTACTGTAGTGTGTGCGAGAATTCCTCCGTCACCTAACGTTGCCCTTGTGTGCCCGCGGTTGGACCAGGATCGTCCGGCCTTCATCCCTGGGGGGCAGTTTTCTCCCCGGCCGCTGGGTGGTGGTGGTGGCGGCGGTTGGAGGGGGGGCCGGGGGGGAAGCAACCCCATCCACAACCCCCGGCAGACGGCGTACGAAATGCGCACGCAGGGACGAGACTACAACAACATGGTATGTGGCCCCCACACTACCACACATCATGGTACATGGAACCCCACACTACCACACATCATGGTACATGGCCCCCACACTACCACACATCATGGTACATGGCCCCCACACTACCACACATCATGGTACATGGCCCCCACACTACCACACATCATGGTACATGGCCCCCCACTCTACCACACATCATGGTACATGGCCCCCCACACTACCACACATCATGGTACATGGCCCCCCACACTACCACACATCATGGTACATGGCCCCCCACTCTACCACACATCATGGTACATGGCCCCCCCACACTACCACACATCATAGTACATGGCCCCCCACACTACCACACATCATGGTACATGGCCCCCCACACTACCACACATCATGGTACATGGAACCCCACACTGCCACACATCATGGTACATGGAACCCCACACTACCACACATCATGGTACATGGCCCCCCACACTACCACACATCATGGTACATGGCCCCCCACACTACCACACATCATGGTACATGGCCCCCCACTCTACCACACATCATGGTACATGGCCCCCCACACTACCACACATCATGGTACATGGCCCCCCACACTACCACACATCATGGTACATGGCCCCCCACACTACCACACATCATAGTACATGGCCCCCCACACTACCACACATCATGGTACATGGCCCCCCACACTACCACACATCATGGTACATGGAACCCCACACTACCACACATCATGGTACATGGAACCCCACACTACCACACATCATGGTACATGGAACCCCACACTACCACACATCATGGTACATGGCCCCCCACACTACCACACATCATGGTACATGGCCCCCCACACTACCACACATCATGGTACATGGCCCCCCACTCTACCACACATCATGGTACATGGCCCCCCACACTACCACACATCATAGTACATGGCCCCCCACACTACCACACATCATGGTACATGGCCCCCCACACTACCACACATCATGGTACATGGAACCCCACACTACCACACATCATGGTACATGGCCCCCCACACTACCACACATCATGGTACATGGAACCCCACACTACCACACATCATGGTACATGGCCCCCCACACTACCACACATCATGGTACATGGCCCCCCACACTACCACACATCATGGTACATGGCCCCCCACACTACCACACATCATGGTACATGGAACCCCACACTACCACACATCATGGTACATGGCCCCCACACTACCACACATCATGGTACATGGCCCCCACACTACCACACATCATGGTACATGGCCCCCACACTACCACACATCATGGTACATGGCCCCCCACTCTACCACACATCATGGTACATGGCCCCCCACACTACCACACATCATGGTACATGGCCCCCCACACTACCACACATCATGGTACATGGCCCCCCACACTACCACACATCATGGTACATGGCCCCCCCACACTACCACACATCATAGTACATGGCCCCCCACACTACCACACATCATGGTACATGGCCCCCCACACTACCACACATCATGGTACATGGAACCCCACACTGCCACACATCATGGTACATGGAACCCCACACTACCACACATCATGGTACATGGCCCCCCACACTACCACACATCATGGTACATGGCCCCCCACACTACCACACATCATGGTACATGGCCCCCCACTCTACCACACATCATGGTACATGGCCCCCCACACTACCACACATCATGGTACATGGCCCCCCACACTACCACACATCATGGTACATGGCCCCCCACACTACCACACATCATAGTACATGGCCCCCCACACTACCACACATCATGGTACATGGCCCCCCACACTACCACACATCATGGTACATGGAACCCCACACTACCACACATCATGGTACATGGAACCCCACACTACCACACATCATGGTACATGGAACCCCACACTACCACACATCATGGTACATGGCCCCCCACACTACCACACATCATGGTACATGGCCCCCCACACTACCACACATCATGGTACATGGCCCCCCACTCTACCACACATCATGGTACATGGCCCCCCACACTACCACACATCATAGTACATGGCCCCCCACACTACCACACATCATGGTACATGGCCCCCCACACTACCACACATCATGGTACATGGAACCCCACACTACCACACATCATGGTACATGGCCCCCCACACTACCACACATCATGGTACATGGAACCCCACACTACCACACATCATGGTACATGGCCCCCCACACTACCACACATCATGGTACATGGCCCCCACACTACCACACATCATGGTACATGGCCCCCCACACTACCACACATCATGGTACATGGAACCCCACACTACCACACATCATGGTACATGGCCCCCCACACTACCACACATCATGGTACATGGCCCCCCACACTACCACACATCATGGTACATGGCCCCCCACACTACCACACATCATGGTACATGGCCCCCCACTCTACCACACATCATGGTACATGGCCCCCCACACTACCACACATCATAGTACATGGCCCCCCACACTACCACACATCATGGTACATGGCCCCCCACACTACCACACATCATGGTACATGGAACCCCACACTACCACACATCATGGTACATGGCCCCCCACTCTACCACACATCATAGTACATGGCCCCCCACACTACCACACATCATGTACGTGGCCCCCACACTACCACACATCATGGTACATGGCCCCCCGACACTACCACACATCATGGTACATGGCCCCCCACACTACCCCACATCATGGTACATGGCCCCCCACTCTACCACACATCATGGTACATGGCCCCCACACTACCACACATCATAGTACATGGCCCCCCACACTACCACACATCATGGTACATGGCCCCCCACACTACCACACATCATGGTACATGGAACCCCACACTACCACACATCATGGTACATGGCCCCCCACTCTACCACACATCATAGTACATGGCCCCCCACACTACCACACATCATGTACGTGGCCCCCACACTACCACACATCATGGTACATGGCCCCCCGACACTACCACACATCATGGTACATGGCCCCCCACACTACCACACATCATGTACGTGGCCCCCACACTACCACACATCATGGTACATGGCCCCCCGACACTACCACACATGGTACATTACCCCCACACTACCACACATCATGGTATATGGCCCCCCACACTACCACACATCATGGTACGTGGCCCCCCACGCTACCACACATCATGGTACGTGGCTCATCACTCTACCACACATCATGGTACGTGGCGCCCACACTACCACACATCATGGTACGTGGCCCGTACACTACCACACATCATGGTAGGTGGCCCCCACACTACCACACATCATGGTAGGTGGCCCCCACACTACCACACATCATGGTACGTGGCCCCTACACTACCACACATCATGGTACGTGGCCCCTACACTACCACACATCATGGTACGTGGCCCCTACACTACCACACATCATGGTACGTGGCGCCTACACTACCACACATCATGGTAGGTCGCCCCCACACTACCACACATCATGGTACATGTCCCCCACACTACCACACATCATGGTAGGTGGCCCCCACACTACCACACATCATGGTATGTGTCCCCCACACTACCACACATCATGGTAGGTGGCCCCCCACACTACCACACATCATGGTACGTGGCCCCCCACACTACCACACATCATGGTACGTGGCCCCCCACGCTACCACACATCATGGTACGTGGCCCCCCACGCTACCACACATGGTAAATGTGTGAATGGTGTGTATGTATGTTGAACTTCTTTTACACTGTACGTATCCAATTGTGCTAATCGGAGGTGTGTGGGTGTGATGTGTGAGTGCTGCGTATGTGTGCTGTGTGTTCTGTGTGGGTGTTGTGTGTGGTGTATGGGTTGTGTGTATGGTGTATGGGCGGTATGTGTGGTGTGGGTGGTGTGTGTTTGTGGTGTATCTGTTGCAGAGCGCTGCTCAGTCTCTGAAGAGCTCCATGTACGGACAGAGCCCGGTGAGTTCTGGTAACTCAGAGCAATCGGTGTCTCATCAATCATCACTGATTAGGGGGCGGCAAGTGGCGGTGTAGTAGTGGCACTCGTGCCTCGCAGTGAGTGGCACCTAGGTTTGAATCCTGTTTCTGGTGCCCCTCTGTGTGGAGTTTGTATTCTCTCCCCTGTCCTGCAGTGAGTGAGTGGAGTTTGTATTCTCTCCCCTGTCCTGCAGTGATTGAGTGGAGTTTGTATTCCCTCCCCCTCTTTTGTGTGGGTTTCCTCCCGGGTTCTCCGGCTTCCTCCTCCCATAGCTAAACACACGCGCACAGTGGAAGCAGTGCTGGCCAAACCACATCCCAAAGCTGAAACATTCCCTGCAACACACTCAATTGGAATCGCACAGCAGTAGCAGCAGCAATATCGCCCCCCCCCCCACTGTGAAAACGTAGCAGGACCCTCCGGAAAAAAAGTCTGGACTCGTCTCATTACTGTTTTGAGCTGGTGGTCCAGACGAGTCTGAGAGCATCGTACGTGCAATTTGGTGGTCACATTGCATGCACATATGGCATACGTGTCCATGTGAGCCTGTGTCTCCGTGTGTCTTCATGTCCCATAGGCTCCGTCCCACTCTGGGAACAGCAGCTTCAGCTCGGGGGGGGGCACTCCCTCCCCTTCGGGGAAGCGGCCGCTCGAAGACAGCGACGATGAGCCTGAGCCCGAGGACAACGTGAGGTGCGTGCAGGGCCCCCCACTCCTCACCATGGCCCCCCACTCCCACCACAGCCGCTCACTGCTCACTACGGCCCCCACTCCACCACGGCCCCTACACTCCCACCACGGCCTCCCACTCCTCACCAGGGCCCCCCACTCCTCACCAGGGCCCCCCACTCCCACCGCGGCCCTCCGCTCCTCACCACGGCCCCCCGCTCCTCACCATGGCCCCCCGCTCCTCACCATGGCTCCCCGCTCCTCACCATGGCCCCCCGCTCCTCACCACGCCCCCCCACTCCACCATGGCCCCTACACTCCCACCACGACCTCCCACTCCTCACCACGGCTCCCCACTATTCACCACGATCCCCCACTCCCACCACGGCTCCCCACTATTCACCACGATCCCCCACTCCCACCACGGCCCCCCGCTCCTCACCACGGCCCCCCACTCCCACCACGGCCCCCCGCTCCTCACCACGGTTCCCCGCTCCTCACCAGGGCCCCCCCACTCCCACCACGGCCCCCCATTCCTCACCACGGCCCCCCGCTCTTCACTACGGCCCTCCATTCCTCACCACCGCCCCCTACTCACCACGGCCCCCCACTCCCCACCACGGACCTCACAGCGAGCCTGACTGGCGCCGTGCCTATAAAACATCAACGCCGGAAAGACGGTCAGGCGTGGTTCCGTCCACAAGGCCACCCCCACGTGATGGCCTTCGTAGGTGCCGCTCGCTAACAGCCCTCGCCCCCGAATGGCCCGCGTGGGCTACGCGGGGGGGGATCTCTTTGTGTGCGGTGGTGACGCAGGCTGTGGGAGGACGGCTGGAAGCAGCGATACTACCGCCAGAAGTTCGACGTGGATGACGGCGACACCGGATTCACCGACAAGGTGGCGCGGGCGTATGTGCATGGCCTGTGCTGGGTGCTGCGCTACTACTACCAGGTGCCCACCGCTCCATCGCCGCTCAGCCTCCTCCCTCTCACCCCAACGCCACTCACCCTCTCACCCCAACGCCGCTCACCCTGCTCCCTCTCACGCTCCCGCCGCTCACTCCGCTGCCTTTCACCCCGATGCCGCTCACCCTCCTCCCTCTCACCCTAACGCGGCCCACCCTCCTCCCTCTGGTATGACTGGTCCCAGGGCTGCGCGTCGTGGCAGTGGTTTTACCCGTTCCACTACGCGCCCTTTGCCTCAGACTTCCACAACGTGGCCAGCATGCCGTCCGACTTCGCCACCGACACCAAACCCGTGAGCGCTCGTGCATACACGCACACATAGCAACAACAACAGCCGGCATTCCCCACCGAGTGGCGGCCACTCTATTTCCTCCTCATGTGTAGGAACACTCGCGGGCATTGGCCAAACATCCGAGTATAGGATCGCAGAGCTTGGGCAGTTGTTGGCGCCGGTTGTCACCGTGCGTTCTCGCTTGTGATTTGTTGCGCATCTCCTTGCAAAAACCGCACGCTACAAATTGTACCGCGTTTGGAGATGCGATTGGTACGTGTGAAGCCATTTACAATTGTAGTGGGTACAAATGTAGAACGAGGCTTCTCTGGAGGCAACACGTTTATACTGGTAGGAACGAAGTTGTAAACTGAGTGTACCAGCCTGCAATAGATTAATGTGTCCGTCCGTCCGTCCCCTTTCAATACTTTTTTAACGAAGTGAAATCTCGTGCTGTTGGGTGTAAAATCAGCAATAGACAGCGCAGAGACTTGTCCTACCAGCCCACCTTGCAGGGACCTGTTTATAACAATACTCGCTAACACAAAGGGGTAGCTGCCCCTTCCACCAGTGTAGTCCCTCCAGGCTAACTAGTCCTAACACAACTGGGGGAGACCGCCAAGCTTGGACCCCGACTTGAGTCCTGGTCTTGACCTTGGGGCTTTTTCAGGAGGACGGCTTCATATCTTCAGGTGAACAACAGCAGCCGGACCCGTTGAGGGGTCCGGCTTATATTCCCAGTCCCGGGGCTTCCTCCGCCCCTAGGCACGCCTCTTTTCTCAGCCCTTCCAGAGGCCCCTGGAACCGGTCCCGGGGTCCCCCAGCCCCTCTCTTTGGGGGCAGCACCCCTGGTACCTCCGGCCACCAGCCCTCCGGGTTCATCTGGAGTGCCATGGCCCCCTGTCACGCCTGCGCCGCTCCAGGCGCTCTCGCCCCCAGCCTTCAGGGGCTGACACTGCACACCGAGTGCAATGTCGCACAACTGCCGTGCTGTAGGTGGTGTGAGCAGTGTGTCTCCTGCTCCACACACAGGCCGGCCTTACGTGGCATGCAGTGGCATTCCGTGATGCCACTACACAAACACACTTGCATTCGACAAAGATCCCCCTTTTTATAGTCTGTAACACACTATTGGAGCAAGTTTTGTAAGCGAGCACCTCATGAAGGCCGGCATGGCACAGGAGGGGGTGGGTGGCCAGCGCCACTCCCCGGGCGCACTGATTTGATTTCTGTTTGGCTATTTTTGCTCTGATTTCTATTTGCTTCATTGTTGTACTTTTTTGATGCAGCAAATGCTCTGTTATCCGACACTTTACCATCTGGAATGCTCTATTAACCGGCATCTGTAGTTTACAGATGCTTCAGGACACTGCCGAGTGGTGGTGCTAGCGCCAGTCTGTACACGCGGTACTCTAATACTGTATATACTCTACTCTAAACGGCCTCACTGCTTCAACAATCAACTTAGAATGCTCTACAACTGACCAGTGAGTAACTTTAAGAGAGTTATCTTATTTCTTACATCATAGTTTAAATGTAGGCTTGGTTTCTTTCTTGAAACATTTTATGTATAGTACTTGAAAAATGTGAACCATCTTACCTATTAAAGTCATTTTTTGTCAGTCTGTCTGCGCACATGCCTTGTGACGCTTTTAACTGACAAACTGTTGGGTTTACGTTTCAACAAAGTACACAGATATGACACAATAATCCCTGGACGAAAAAGCGCTATTTGTTTTTCCCATCCGTCAAATGTAAAGTAGTTAAATTAGCAACTTATGTTTTATTACTACGCTAATCGTGGCGCCAAAGCCCGCATCTGCGCATGAGCAGAAACGCTGACTCGTCGTTGTCCCTAGCAACGCACACGCGATCGGTGGGGACGGGGGGGGGGATAATTCTCATTCGCGTTCAAAATTAAAAATAAAAACGCAACACCTGAGGGAAATTCTGAACAGTGTGATGTCCTCTTCTCCCCTCTCCCACCCCAATGTGTGCAGTTATTACTATACAGTTAGTAGATATGACTGTAGAGTGGCCGGGGGATAGTGGGGGTGGGTAGCAGCCCAGCCCCAGCCGGCCGAGGTGGCACCTTGGCCGGCTGGGCAATCTAGCCGTGGCTGGCGGCACTCCGCAGGACTAGGCCTCACCACGGCATTCTGTAGGGTTCGTAGATACTGCTATAGAGTCGAATGATGCTACTATTGAGATAGTAGATACTGCTATAGAGTCTGCAGATACTATGGTAAAGTTAGTAGTTACTACTATAGTCAGTGGATACTACTGTAGAGTCAATAGATACTACTATAGATTCAGTAGATACTACTATAGTCATTAGATACTACTGCAGCATCAGTATATACGACTATAGAGTTAGTAGATACTACTATAGTCAGTAGATACTACTATAGTCAGTAGATACTACTATGGAGTCGGTAGGTCTACTGTAGAGCAAGACTCTGATTTAGAGTCACTAGATACTACTCTATTGTACGTTGGGTGTGTAGGTATATATGCCTCCAGGGGGGTAAAAATATGTTTTGAGGGGGGCATCGACAATTTTCGGAAACCTTTTAGATCAACTATTTACCACCCACTTTATATTACTTTTTGTTTCAGGACTTCTGCAAGCCTCTTATAATTTTGTTGACGGACAAATGGACAAACAAATGGAATAGCTTGGTCTTTGTGTATGTATATGTTATGTTTTTAAGAGAAGACAAGATTTGAAATATATTTTTCCCCCAGGCAACGCCAGGTACTTCCTGCTTGTTAACTATAACTGTCAGACAACCCGCATATTTGATGAAACGGCACCCTCCATTCCCCATGGATGCCGGATAACAGAGGTTTTTTTTATGTTTCTATTGTCATATTGGTGACCTAGATGAGTCACTCCTGCAAATGAGACTTCTATCCTGATCTCTTAAATTGTCATCTGGTTACACACAATCAACTTCAAACTTGAAACGTGGTTGTCTCCCCCCCTTGCAGTTCAAGCCCCTGGAACAGCTGATGGGGGTGTTCCCAGAGGCAAGCGGCAACTTCCTGCCGGTGACGTGGCGCAAGCTCATGTCCAACCCGGTGAGTCTCGCTCCAATCGATCCCCCCACCCTCCCCCCCCCAACACCTCCCCCCCCAACACCTCCCCCCCCCAACACCTCCCCACCTTCACCCGAACTTTTCAGAACAAAAATGGACAAAATGTAACGATGGAGTAGAGACCGAGAGAGGGGCGGAAGAAATTGCAGTGAAACGGAGTTACAGCAGAGGCCACGGAAGGTGGGGGGGGGGGGGAAGTGGGGGAGGTCTTCACCCAGCTCTGGGATGTTACAGCCTGACAGCAACAACCACATGCGTGTGCATGTGCCCGGGGGGGAGCGGTCGTGGTAATGGTTAGCGTGCTGCATGACGAACCCGGCGACCCGAGTTCGATTCCCGCTCATGGTCAACATCGCTGACGAATATCTGATCCGGCCCTAGGCCTCCGCTCGGTCAACTCGGCCTCAAATGAGTACCTGGTGCGGCGTGTAGTAAACATCCCTACTGGAGAGGAGACCAAGGCGATCGGGCGTGGTGCTGGCCACCCACCCCTGCGTGTGCAGTGCCGGCCTTCATAGGTGCTCGCGAACAGCACTTTCCCCAACAGTCTGTTAAGGCTATACAGAGGGACTTTGTCTTTGTACACACATGTCCGTGATTTTCACTCCCACAGGACTCGAAAATCATCGACTTCTATCCCGACGACTTCTCCATTGACCTCAACGGGAAGAAGTACGCCTGGCAGGGTGAGCCCCAGCATCCACCCGCCAATGATGGTTGATGTTGATTTCACAGCTGATAGAAATTGGAACAGAAACAGCTTCGTTGCAGACAAAATGGACAACAGTGCACAAACATGATTGATAAAAAACTTAATTTCCTCACAAGTCAGTTAAAACAAATTACGTTTAAACGACTTATGGAAAAATTTAGTTGCTGAAACATCTTCACTCAATCATTTATATGGAGTAACCAAGGAAATGCAGTTCTGCACAGGCTAGGGAAGAGAAGGGCTGTAGGAGGATGTGGAGCTGAGTGGACTTGCCGATGTCCGGTACCAGCGGTGTCAAGATCGGCCTCTGTGCGTGTGTAATGCGGTGGTGTAGCGACGAATATCTGAATCAGTCATCGGCCTCCCCTAGGTAGACTCAGCCTAAAATTAGTCCTTGGTGCGATGTGTCAACATCGCCACTTAGGGAGACAAAGGTGGCTAGGCGTGGTGCTGGCCACCCACTCCCTTGTGGGCATTGCCGTTCTTCATAGGTGCTACTGGCGAACAGGACTTGCCCCAAAAGTCTGTTAAGCCTATACAGGGGGATTGTTGTGTGTGTATTTGTGTAATGCATGTGACTCGTGCTGCCCATAGGCGTGGCGCTGCTGCCCTTCGTGGACGAGCGCCGTCTGCGTGCGGCCCTCGCGGACGTCTACCCCGACCTCTCGGTGGACGAGAGTGAGGCCCCCCCCCGACCCCCCCCCCCCTCATGATCACCTCGCGAGTCCAAGTTGTGTTTGTCTCGATCAGCGTTTTGTCTTGTGGCCCTACGTGGTGGACACGGGCCCACGTAAGCGGATATCGCAGAGCTACCTCTGAGATTCATTCCTCTTCACGTGACCTCTGTTTCCACACACAGTAAATAGAGGGCAGTAACCACCCCACCCGCTCTGCCGCTGAGAGTAACGCTCGCAGTCATGTTGTGGTCAATCTGAGATTTTGTCAAGAGCTGTAATTTTTCCCATTAAGCATGGAACCATATGCAAGGCAATCATTTTTTTGCGTTGCCATTGGTGACTGGGCTGAAGCCATCACCTCTTGACAGATACTTGAGAACCCGGTTTAACCATAAACCCAGTGTCTGTAAATCTAAACGTCTCTATGTGAGTCTATGGGTCCCTATGCAAGTCGTTGGTGAGAACCCAGTTTAATGAAAGTTCCGGCTCAGCATCTCTGACCTGAGCCGCTGCCTGGCCGTCCTTCCGTCTTTCTGGCTTCGGAGTCTCACAGATCTTTACATGATTCACCACCCCATCCCCCCCCCCCCCCCCACCCCGCTCAGGTCGTAGGAACAGCCTCGGCAGCGACGTGTTGTTTGTGGGGCAGTACCACCCGCTGCAGGACTTCATGGTGGAGCTCTACAGCGGCGGAGCAGAGAACGGACAGGTGGGGGGTGCGGGGGTCACTGTTCCAGGTGGAAGGCATGGGGGTCACGGGTCCAGACAGGGGGGCTCGGGGGTCATGGGTCCAGGTGGGAGGGCGCAGGGGTCACGGGTCCAGGTGGGGGGGCGTGGGGGTCACGGGTCCAGGTAGGAGGCGCGGGGGTCACGGGTCCATGTGGGGAGTGCGGAGGTCACGGGTCCAGATGGGGGGAGGAGCGTGGGTCATGGGTCCTTGTAGGGGAGTGTGGGTGTCATGGGTCCAGGTGGAGGAAGGGGGTTGGTGGCGTTCACCTGACCCCAACCCCTCTCTTTGGCGTTTGTGTAAAGGACCACTGCACACCCATGTACAGAACTCTGGGCCGCTTTTAACGTTTGGTTTCTCATCAGCAGTCCGGCTGACTTGGAGCAATCCTGGTGAACTGTAACGCTATCTGGTGTCGTTACTCGGACTGGCCCAATCCCTGTTCACCGTTCCTCACCATATCTCCCCCTCCCCCCTCCGCAGGAGGTGGATCTGCCCCCCAACCTCTGCCACGGCATGACGAGTAAACTACGTCTGGACCAGGACTCTATCCTGCCTGGCAGGTACTGTTGTACGCACGTGCGTATGTGTGCGCGCGAGTTTGCACACAGTGGGGAGCAGTGGTGCAATGGTTAGCGCACTATGCTGCAAACCCGGCGAGTTCGAGTCACGGCCAATAAGAATTACGATTATTTGAACTGGTCCTTGGCCTCGAATGAGTACTTGATGCCGCGTGTAAATAGAAGTTACTGGGGATAGAAAGGCGGTCGAGCGTGGAATTGGCCACCCACCCCCATCGTGTGCCGACCGTCATAAGTGCTACTCACTAACAGCATTAAGCCTAACAGTCTGTTCGTGCTATATGGGCGAACTTTGTATTTTGTGTGTGTTTTGTGTGTGTCCCACAGGGTTGTGCAGTCCCCTGTGCCCACGCTGCCTGACGTGAAGCACAACAGCTGTGTGAGGTCAGTGGTGATATCGCAACCAGCCACCCCTCTGTTGCCCATCCCCCACCCCCTCGATCGCCCACCCCCACTCATCCACCGTAGCCCCCGATAACCACGACCTGGAACTTCTCGGTTCTCAGTCAGCAATCATCAGTTCCTCATTGTGTGATTGCCCCCCCCCCCCCCCCCGACTCACCTCACACCCAGAGCCGCAAATTGGGGCGACCGTCCCGGGCCACGTGCATTGGGGGGGAGGGGGGTAGGGCCCCTGCACTTTCATGTCACCGTGGTGTCAGATGTAATACTCCCTTTCGGTTTAGTTTGAAGGCGTCAGGGGGCCCACACGGTGTGGGATTTGCCCCGGGCCCTTCACTCCCCCCCATATGGATGGCCTTGGGTGTGCCTTGCCCTTTGCTTTTGCTGCAACCAGAGCTCGTGGCACTCCTCCCTCCCTCCTCCCCTTCCCCCCTACCTCTTCGCCGTCATCTCAGAGTCCCCGAACCCCCCCTCCCGCCCCCTCCGTGTGGCAGCATCTTGTTCCGGGACCCGCAGTATGAGGAAGGATTCGTGTTCAAGGCTGAGTTCCTCCCGGGGGCCAAGTGAGTTCCAAACGCTTCCACTCGGCCGTCGTGACGCGCATGTACACACATGTACTTGTGCACATACAGACACGCATACACATACATGTACTCATGCGCGCAGACACAAGCACATGCACACACACATGTACTCGCACATGTACACACACGTACTCAACAAGAACAACCGCCATTCGCCACTGTGTGTCGGTGACGTCACCACGACGCTTGTGCCAGGCTATGTGCACGTTGAGGCCTTGTGAAGTGTCGATCACCGGCTGTGGCAGGAGGTCACAGGGCAGACCCAGGTGCCACGGGTTGACTGAGATGACTGGCTGATGCACCACCTGTGCCGCCTACTGTGACAACTTGCTGTGCTTTAGCCATCCGGCGCTCCGCTTGTTGTGAGCGTCGCTCCTCCGCCCTCCGTTGTTGTTGGAGGGCGACTGCCTCCAACTGCCCAGTAGCATCCTTCACGAGCCTCCTCCACAGAGGCCAATCTTAACACCGCTGGTACCAGTCATCGGCAAGGCCACTCAGCTCCACATCCTCCTGCACCACATCACTCCATCTCTTCTCTAGTCCGTGCCGTGTCCATTTAGCCCCCTCTATCTGGCCGAACAAAAGCTGTTTAGGCATGCGGTGGTTGGGCATGCGATCTACATGACCCAGCCAACGCAGCCTTGTCTGCTGAGCTCACCGATGGGACTTTGTCCAGATCTTTCAAGGATTTTGAGAGCTCCTGACACAATCCAGCTTGGTTATACCCAGGATGGATCGTAGGCAGGCCAGCCTAAATGTTTCTAACCGGCGAAGATGTTCCATTAGGGGGGTCCATGTTTCGCAAGCGTAGAGAAGGGAGGGGATGACTGGCCGAGAAGACCTGAAACTTCGTGCGGAGCAACAGACCAAGTAGCTTCCACACAGCGTTACACAACCGTTGAAAAGATAATGTTGCTCGACTGATCTGGAGTGAGACCTCTGCTGTCAAACCAGAGCCGGTCATGAGCACACTGCCCAGGTATGGAAAACTCTCCGCTCTCTCCACAACTGCCCTATCACCAATTGGGAGTTGTGGGGGTGGAGTGTCCGATGGTGCAAAATACCCAGGCAGTGCTAAATTTTGATGGTGCTGATGGTAAGGCCCCACCTCTTAGTGGCAAGCTTCAGCAGCAGCGCCTCCAACTCCTCCGCTGAGTGAACAGCAATTACCAGATCATCAGCATACATAACGTGGTTGACCAATAGGGAGCCATCCCTTGACCGTAACTGGTCATCGATCGGCCTCCCATTGTATCTGTACCAGATGGAAATTCCTCCGGTACAGCCATTGAAGGCTTCACAAACTACGTGGTCGAAAAATGTTAAATAATGTGGGAGCCAGAGGACATCCCTGTCATGTAGGGCAGTTTGTGCACAAATGCCACTCTCCCTCAGTATTTCGCTTGGGAGATCATCTCTGCCCGATACCTTTCCTTGGTCTCAGGCTCTGGATCGCCTTTAGTACTTCCTCAACAGATGGCACCTCAGGAGCCTCAACAGGGTGACCCCCGCGTGACCCCCGCATGACCCCCGCGTGACCCCAGGCAAGCGGAGAAGGTGCTGAAGCCTGGCGACTGGGAACAGAGGAACCCCGGGCGCAACTACCAACCGCAGCTCGGATTCAACCCCAATCGGCAGCAGCAGCACCTGGGCCAGGCCTCCTTCAACATGCTGCGGTGCGTGAGGGGCACCGGTGGGGTTGGTGTCTGGGAGAGTCGGTGTGAGCGAGTGACGGTGAGAGTCTGTGTGAGTGGTGAGTGACAGTGTTTGGGAGAGTCTGTGTGTGACTCCTGAGTGACTTAAGTATGCAGGTGTGTGAGAGGCAATGCTGTACTGTATAGGTTGTGAGGCCATGTGCTGTGTGTGGTGAGGCTGTACCGTATAGGTGGTGAGGGCGATGTGGTGTGGTTAGTGAGGCTGTATCGTACAGGTGGTGAGGCCTTGTGGTGAGTCTGTACCGTATAGGTGATGAGGCCGTGTGGTGTGGATGTGAACACTTTGCCTTCTCGACACCACAGGCACTCGACTGCCCAGGCCGCAACCTCTCGGAACAGCTGGCCCCAGGCTCACGGAGGTTATGGCCAGGGGCAGCATCAGCCCAGCAGCCGGCAGAGTGAGTCCTGGGGGAATGAGTGCCCGAGTGAATGACCCAGAGAGTGAATTAATGAAATAATTAATTATCTGGGTGGCACCCTGGACCTGACCGTTTCATCCTCGCATCGATTATTTTACTCTGACAGTCCATGCTCTTTGGCCCACGACATGGTAACGTCAGCACAGAAAGATCTTGCACACTCGCTAGGCCACGCCGTCGGTTTTTCACCTCGTGCACACCTGCGGTAAAAAAACGCAGGGAGCACACACGGCACAATGCACGGCACCTTCAACCGGCGACGTGTGCTGTCTAACCGTGTGTGCATTCCCATTTCGATCGCCTTGTGATGTTGATTGTCTGAATTCATCTTGCGCAAGTTACGGCTTGAAACTGTTTGGTCGTGCAATGCCTCAGTATACGAAGCAGATGCGTTCCTGGAGCTTCGTTCGTATGTCGAAACTTCGTAGATTGAATAACTTATAACAATAGTATGAGTATGCGTGCCCACCCTTCATCACATACCAATTCACACTGTAAACACTTCATAACTTGCCGTTCATGTTGTAAACAAAGAAAATTTACATTAAAAATAATATATTTATACTGTACAGTATATATAAAACTGACATAAATAAACAAATTGTACACTCAGCAGTGTGCAGTTTTCCTTGTAGGCATGAGGTTGCATTGCCCACCGAACCCCACAGCTCCGTAACGTAGTGCGTCCCTGCGCCCTGATTGTCCGAGATTAATGTAAGCAAACATTGAATGACCTATTGCGATGCGCAACCCTCAAGAAAGGCCATGTGGTGTGGTTATAATTTGAATATTATTTATATCGTATATTTATTAATTTCGGTGTATTATTTGACTCATTTTTTTACCATGAATATAATGATAATAAATCCAAAGTTCGTTGGACTGAAACTTTTTCTATCGAGTATTCGCATATTGGGGTATTCCTGTACAATGTGTCACTACGTGTGTCACTACGTGTGTCTGCCTATGATAGCGGTGATGCAGCTGTTAGCGGGCTGCGTTCCGAACCCGGCGACTCGATTTCGATTCCCGCTCATGGCCAACACCAGTGACTATTATCTGAACCTATCTTTTGACTCGGCCTCAAATTAGTACCTGTTGCAATGTGTAAACATCGCCACTGGGGAGACAAAGGCGGCTGGGCGTGGTGCAGGCCTCCCCCGCCGTGTGCCGTGCCGGTCTTCATAGGTGCTCGCTAGCAGCACTTTCCCCAACAGTCTATTATTGCTATATGGGGGAGCTTTGTATGTATGTTGAACTTTCTTCGCACCTTACGTAGCCAACCATGCTAATCGGAGATGTTTGTGTGGCCCAGTGCCGGCGCGGCAAGACTCTCAGCAGTGGTTTAACCCACAGCCCCGACAGCTCTACAACCCCCCACTCTCCAACCGGTGAGGGCCGGCGCCTGCTTCAATCGCACACCTCCACCCACGTGCTCACCCACGTGCTCACCCACGTGCTCACCCACGTGCTCACCCACGTGCTCACCCACGTGCTCACCCACGTGCTCACCCACGTGCTCACCCACGTGCTCACCCACGTGCTCACCCACTTGCTCACCCACGTGCTCACCCACGTGCTCACCCACGTGCTCACCCACGTGCTCACCCACGTGCTCACCCACGTGCTCACCCACGTGCTCACCCACGTGCTCACCCACGTGCTCACCCACGTGCTCACCCACGTGCTCACCCCACGTGCTCACCCCACGTGCTCACCCCACGTGCTCACCCCACGTGCTCACCCCACGAGCTCACCCCACGAGCTCACCCCACGAGCTCACCCCACGAGCTCCCCCACACATTCACCTGGACAACTCTGCTGGTGTCTCTAAGACCATGACGGACAGAGTCGCCTTTGGGGGGAGGTTTGTGCGTGAACGCCTGCGACCCTCTCTGCTCCACCCAGGATGACCACACAGAGAGGAGGTGGCTCTGGGGGCCAGGGGGCCTGGTCGCAGGGATCCTACCCCCCGGCGGGGGGGGGCAACTTCCAGCAGAGTGGAGGCGGCAGCTGGGGGGGCCAGCAGCAGCAGCAGATGTTCCAGCCGCGGCACGGAGCACCCCGTGTAAGTCGGCGGTCAGGTGTGCATGCGTCTGTGTGCGTGCGTGCATGTGCGCGTGTCGATGGGGAGCGGTAGTGTGATGGTTAGCACGCTGCACTCCGAACCCGGTGAGCTTAGTTCAATTCCCGCTCACGGCCAATGCCAGTGATGATTATGTGAACCAGTCCTGGGCCTCCCCTAGGTCAACTCGGCCAACTCAGCCACAAATGAGTACCTAGTGCGCCGTGTATAAACATCGCCACTGGGGAGACAAAGGCGGCAGAGTATGGTGCTGGCCACCCACCCAGTCGTCTGCTGTGCCGGCCTTCATAGGTGCTCACTAACAGCACTTGTCCCAACAGTCTGTTAAGGCTACACGGGGGATCTTTGTTTTTTGTGCATGTCGATGGTCTGTTCGGTGTGTGCTCGCGGTGATTGGTGTGTTTCTGTGCCGTGTGATTGGATTTTGTGATTTTTGTGTTGATAGTGTGGTGGGTGTGGTGGTAGTTTATTGGGTGTGGTCAGTGGTTTGGTGGGTGTTGGTAGAATATGGATGGGTCAGGGGGAGGGAGGTATATTTGTAGTTCTGTCTTTAATACATGCTAACAGCACTCACCCCTACTTGGCGGAGTTTGTGTGTGTGTAGTTGAGGAATGGGTGCTCACGCCCCCCCCCCCCCCCCCCCCCCCCCCGTGCTCCCCTTTATCAACCCTCCCCTCCCACCAGGGTTCCTACCCGGGTCGAGGCAGCTTTCCCATGCCCCCCCCAACCTCCCGCTACTCTCGCTACTGAGACATGGAGACACGGGGGTAGGGGTGGTGGTACATCAACTTCTCCACGCGGACCACACGGCCTGCCGCCGAGCCACCTTGCCAGGGGCTCATTTTAAGGCCGAGTCGACCTCCGGGGAGAGGGCCTTCCCGGGCAAGTTCCAACGTCGCGGTTCGCACCTTGGCCGTTGTCGTTCGGGTGTCGAACCCAGGTATCCCAGGATCATAGCTTCGTGCCGACCTCCCTCGTTCCTTGTCCTGGTGACCCCCATCTCCGAGCGCTCCGTCCCCATTTACTTCGTTTCCTCTGTCCACCTTTATTCATAGTTTTAATCCCAATGATGGTCGTGTATTTTTTTGTCATTAAATGCCGGAACAGAAATTGAGTGTTGAAAATGTCACGCGGTAAATTACAGTTGTACACTGCGGGCGTCGTGCGGCGGTTGTCGGATGTGAGCACAACGTTGCAATGTAATTTTTTTAGCTGAGATTTTTTTATGCTGGAAGGAACAAAAAAACAGTTGACGCGGGTTTTTAGTTTCATGGGTCGGCAAACGGGGGTCAAAGTTGAGAAGTGTGGTGAGAAGGGGGGGAGGGTGAGAAAGTTGGGGGGAGGGTGGGAGGGTTGGGGATCAACGTTGTCGTCCGTTACTGAAACCTGGAAAAATAAACCCCGGTTTGTCGACAGCTTACGCGGCCGCGTCTTTCCCTGCGGGCGCCTCTCACCGAGCGAGCTCAACACGCAGTGAGCCGGCCGCTGGTAGCGCGACGGTGCCGGCTGGCCGCTCTCAGTGGCACGAACACAATGCCGGCCCAACGCGCACGCATGCAACCGTGTTCGTTGCCGCCGTCGGAAGAGGGCGAAGTTCACTCTGCGTGCGTCTCGACTCCACCGGTGGGGCGTTTCGCGAGCGACATCTCCCCTCTCGCATGTGCGGAAATCGTTCCAATCTCAAATCGCAGCCTGATGATCTGCCGGGCCCACGCACGCACTCACAACTTAAAAAAAAACCTCAAGTCCCAAGTGATGTCCTGCTACTCAAATGAGCATTGAGGCAGTGTTCATCTTATAGTAATAGGTTTTACCCTACTCATATTCTTAGTTTTTTCGGTAAAGTCACGTTGAAGAGAAACAACAAAATAATAAAATATATAAAACAATAAAAAAATTCTCACGACGTTTCGACCATAACTCAAACGGTCACCTTCAGGTGTGTTGGTTTGCATAAATTTATTTTTAAACGGCGCATTTATTTATTTATAAAAAAAAACGTTAGCGTCACGCGCAGCGATTTGGCAGTTTACCCAGGACTAGTCCATCTATATTTTGAAAAGAGGAGGGGGGAGACGAATTTTTTTTTTTATAATGTATGCTGTCTGAAAGCCACTGTAAGCGTGAACAATCAATTAAGAACTGAAATGGTTTATCAAATCTTTCCAATGATTGCTAAGATAGAATCCATCTTCTCGGTTGAAATTGTCTCTGTGCTTGTATATGTGGATAGCCTCATGAACGAATCTCTCATGGAAGCCAGATGGCTTACAAAGAACCTCTGTCTTGGAAAAGTCAATGGCATGTGAGCCTACTGAATTAGAACAATGATCTGCTACGGCCGAGGTGTTGGTCCTACCGTGTTTAAGGTCTGCTTTGTGTTCACGAATGCGGTCCGAGACATGGCGTTTGGTTTCTCCAATGTAACTACTACCACAGAGGCAACTTAGTTTGTAGACACCAGGGTATTGTATGTCCGGAATCACATCTTTTACAGACGGAACCAGATCACGGATTTTATGTAATGTGTTGAAACGGACCTGGATCTTGTGTTTATTCAAGATTTTGGAGATCTTTTTTGTGATCCCAGCAATGTAGGGTAAAGTGATGGTTTTGAAAGGCTCCTCAAGAGGGTTCTTCTTCATGGTTTGAGTGATAGCTTTGCGGATTGTATAGTCGGAGTAACCATTAGCCCTAAGAGCTTGGTGTACGTGGTTGAGTTCACTGCTTATGTGTTCCTGGTCGGATATGCATTGGGCTCTATGATACAGAGTCTTGATGAGAGAATTCTTCTGTGATGGATGGTGGTGGGAATCCGGTTTCAGATAAGCATCCGTATGGGTAGCTTTCCTGTAGACAGAGTGGCTCATTGAACCATCAGGTCTCTTTTTAATTAGGACATCCAAAAAAGGTATCTTGCCATCTATTTCGACTTCCATGGTAAATCTGATGGCTGGGTGTATGGAATTGATGTGGTCGAAGAATTGGTCTAGAGCAGGCCGGCCATGTGGCCAGATGACAAAAGTGTCATCCACGTACCACGTACCTCTTCCAAAATCTTGAATAAACACAAGATCCAGGTCCGTTTCAACACATTACATAAAATCCGTGATCTGGTTCCGTCTGTAAAAGATGTGATTCCGGACATACAATACCCTGGTGTCTACAAACTAAGTTGCCTCTGTGGTAGTAGTTACATTGGAGAAACCAAACGCCATGTCTCGGACCGCATTCGTGAACACAAAGCAGACCTTAAACACGGTAGGACCAACACCTCGGCCGTAGCAGATCATTGTTCTAATTCAGTAGGCTCACATGCCATTGACTTTTCCAAGACGGAGGTTCTTTGTAAGCCATCTGGCTTCCATGAGAGATTCGTTCATGAGGCTATCCACATATACAAGCACAGAGACAATTTCAACCGAGAAGATGGATTCTATCTTAGCAATCATTGGAAAGATTTGATAAACCATTTCAGTTCTTAATTGATTGTTCACGCTTACAGTGGCTTTCAGACAGCATACATTATAAAAAAAAAATTCGTCTCCCCCCTCCTCTTTTCAAAATATAGATGGACTAGTCCTGGGTAAACTGCCAAATCGCTGCGCGTGACGCTAACGTTTTTTATAAATAAATAAATGCGCCGTTTAAAAATACATTTATGCAAACCAACACACCTGAAGATGACCGTTTGAGTTATGGTCGAAACGTCGTGATAATTTTTTATTGTTTTATATATTTTATTATTTTGTTGTTTCTCAACGTGACTTTACCGAAAAAACTAAGAATATGAATTACTGCAGTCACGAAAGCTTTAAATCAGGTTTTACCCTTTTAACTGGCAGAAAAACTGACACCTTTATTCAAGGCATCATGTTTGCAATAACCACAACACAAGCAGTCAGAATGCAAACAAAAGAGACAACTCTAATAATATGCACTGTCCTTGAATTTGGTCCACACCCGAGACGGCTTTTCAAGGACTGCATATTATCAGAGTTGTCTCTTTTGTTTGCATTTTGACTGCTTGTGTTGTGGTTATTGCAAACATGATGCCTTGAATAAAGGTGTCAGTTTTTGTGCCAGTTAAAAGGGTAAAACCTATTACTATATCTTGTTACTGGCAAAGGAGGTCTCATAGTGTTCATCTTGTTTACAGTTTTTTGAACCAGTGGTGGAAATGCCACATTCCTATGGCGGGGGAAGGGGAGCGGTGCGGGGCGAGTCTACCCCACACTGGGACTCGTGTTATCCACCAAGGTGGGGCAATTGGCCTGAGTCAACCCCCCACCAGGATCTAAAGTTGCAAGCTTCCGAACGTGAGCCGCCACCCGGCCGGCCGCTTGCATTTGCATTGCGCCCACACCCAAACGAAGCATCTCTTGAGTGCAGTTATTAAGCCTTGGGGGGAGGGGGGCAGCACAAGATGATGGAGCACTGGCCTGTAAGTGGCGATCATTGCCGCCAACCTCCTGGAAACAAGACCAAGACGCGAGACTGTCTTGACGTTTTATTGCATAAATAATAGACACCGGTTATTGTCGCGATTGTGAGCGGGGGTGCCCCCCGCCCCGCACCATGACGGCCAGTGGGGCCCCATCAGCGGCGCACCAGCCTGGCGGTGCGCCGGCGCTCCCAGCTGTGCAGCGAGCGCTGGGCCCGGCGGCTGAGGCCCCGCCGCTCGCAGCGGCCACCGCTCTGCTCCCGCTCCAGCATGAAGAGGACCCCGTAGAGCGTAGTCAGGTAGTAGCCTCCTGGGGGGGCAGGGGATGGGAGGGGGGAGGATGGAGGGAGACGTTATCCCAGGGATTGAGGGGGAGGCGGCAGTGTGTGTTCGCCTGTGCAGGATTTCCATATTCTCTTTCTAGGGAGGGGATGGGGGGGTGCGAGGCGAGGAAAGGTGTTGGCAAGGGTTATTCTGCATCTACCCCCTCCTAGGCAGCGCGTTGAGAGTCTTGCAGAGCCCCCACTGTAATTACAGATGCTATATTCTCTGTCGATCTGCTAGAGCAGAGTCATGGGGGACGTTGAGAGCGAGCCAATGGTAATGTGGGTTAGTCGGTGGCAACGCGGGTGAGCGAGCATCGAAGTGGGTTAGTGAACGTTGCTTTGGGTGAGCGAGTGTTCACACAGGTGAGTAGTGACATGAGTGAGCGTTGACGTGGGTGAGTGGTGAAATTGGAGTGGGGTGAGTGAGTGGCGCACCCTCTCCGTGTAGGGCGAGCGGATTCATCATCTCCATGGCGTAGAGCACGTGCACGATGAGTGACGGCAGCTCCACGCGTGACACCACATGCACCAACGCCGGCACAAAGTCGTCGGCGCCCAGCGCCTCCCCCCGGCCTGGCAATGGCACCGCAAACGTCGTGGTCACGGTGATGGCAGCAACTTCCCAAAAATCAACGAATGCGCTGGCAACGTTGCGGCGGCGGCGGCGCCGCTGATATCGACACGACGGGAGGGCACGCACCGAGAGGCGGTGGCTGCCTCAGCGCTGGTCGCGATAAAGGACGATTACGCAAGTGCGACAAACGCTCCTTCGTTGTACCACGAGTGCATCATCTTCGCACGAGCATTGGTTCAAAAGCATGGACCGGTTTTCAACATTCATTGTATCGACAGCAGGCATAATTCTTCACAACCATGCTTATAATTTTTTTGTTATTTTTGACTAGCTTTTTTGCCCGTCCGAGGACGGGTGTACATTGCAGTAAATCTAAAATATTCAATAGAAAAATTGTTCAGCTCATGATTGTTAATGAGGGGGGGTTGCCTTATGTGGAGTGACTTCACCCGCTAATTTTTATTGTGGAGGGGTGCGGCATGTGGAGTGCGCGACCTTGTGCGTTATTGTAAATGTCCACGCGGGCATGGATATTAATAAAGGGGGGGAGAGGGCTCTTTTGCAGTGACATCACGCACGGATGTAGCACTGCTGTGTAGATTTATTTTTTACCGTCACTTTCTGTCAAGAAACGTCATATTTGAAGCGACTGCGTAATAAATTATTTAATTCAGTTCGACCTGCGTTAGTGTAAAAATCCACCCACTCATGAATATTAATGAGGGGGGTGGGCCTCATGTGGAGTGACGTCACGTGCGGGACACATTCTTGGCTCATAGTATATGCTGATGGTGCGGCTTATGGTGCTGATGATGCCATTGCCGGTATCACCCACTGGTGGCCGTGCCCATGGCATCGTACACGAGCCTGCAGGCCGCAAGCAGACGTGCCACCTTGCCGTACGGCGCGTACGCTCGCCCCATCGCCGCCAGCGTCCTCCTCACTCCCTCTACGCTGGGGGGGGGCAGGGGCCGCTCCCCACCGCACCACATGCAGGGGCATGGCCCCCCGCGTGCCGCCCGGAGGCCCCGGGCCAACCGGGAAGCTGAGCCGTCGAGACCTCGCCGGGCCTCCAGGCAGGCGACGATGGCGCCGTGAAGCGGGCGCAGCAGGCAGGCGGCCAGGCACGACTCGAGTGCCGACTCTGGATGGGGTGGGGGCGGGGGGCGCGGTGGGGGGTGATTATCGTCACACTGGGTGTATAAACCGAGTAACGGGATGTCGGGTTATCATCGCCGTGGCCAGGCCTACATCGCTCTTCTGTGCAGCTCACAAGCTGCCGGCCTAATCCGCTCGCTCCTATAATCACTCACTCCTATCCTGCTCCTTTACCGCTCGCTCCTATATCACTCCTAAACTGCTCGCTCCTATACTGCTTGCTCGTATATCGCTCCTATACCGCTCCTTTATCGTTCGCTCCTATATCGCTCCTACACTGCTCGCTCCTGTTTCGCTCCTGTACCGCTCCTATGGCGCCCGTCCGCACAACTCTGCTGCTTGACTCTAGAAATGAAACGCGAGACAAGCGAGGATCTGAACCGCGCGCTCTCCGACCGCAGAGCATGGATGGGGGGTCGTTCCAGCCGCCCCCGTTGGGCGGTGGCGATGTGGCCATGGGCCGCTTGCTGTAGAATTGTGTCGCACTGCACCATCCACAAAAGCCCTTGGCCTTATCCAGACCACCAGTCCAATGGAACTAATGCGAGGCCATTTTGTCGTTTAGGAGAAAATCCGGACATCCCAGTGGCGGACGACAGCAGCGAACATTGGTGGCTGCACCGTCCCGATGAGTCCTAATGTGTGCCTTGTTTCACTGCTTGCTGTTGGGACGGCCACATTTCCTACTCCGGACACGTGGTGCTGCACACCTGTGTGTGTCGCCAAATCGACAGCGTCCCGCCGGTGCATGAGCACCAAGCTCGGAGAAAGGTAAGGCCAAGCCTCGCACAGGACCTAGAACTTGATGGCAGAATATTTTTTTGAATATTGCGCAACATCCGCCAAATGGACGTATTGGCGGTACGCTAGGTCCTCATAAAACAGTCTGACGATGTTGCTGTTGCTTGAGTGAGCTGCAGACTCTCCATCAGAAGTTGCACTACTTAGATTCAGCAGCCGCTTTCCCATTCGAACGTGTGATGCTACAAGTCGTAATCTTTTGATGCTACCGTCTGCCAAGAAATTATTCCTCATGAACCGAAGAACCGTCCGACCAAGTCTAGGGCACGAGGAGTCAAATCTTGCCTTTGGAACATGGAGCAGCCGATCGTCATCAGGGCTGTGTGCTGCTATATGAATGCGAAGCTTCTTCGGTTGAAAATCGAGTGAACAAATATTTATTGCGCAATAATGTGATCTTGTTTTTTATACTGCGCTCCGCCGGTGTACCGCCAATACGTTAAAATCTATGACCCCAGACCCGTGGAGTTCCACGTAAACGACCGCCAGCGGACGGTGAGCTCAACGCGTTTGCGGTGAGAAGGTCCAGAAACCAGCCGTACGTTAAAAATATACGCCGGCTCGGGGATGAGGCCTGAGCTGCTGAGATGTTTGCGGAAAGTCTGCACCAAGGCAGTAAGCAGCGTGAACCTCACCCGGAAACTCGTGGGCACCGATGCCGAAAAAAGAAAGAAAAAAAAACCCCGTTCTCAGCTCGGCACTAACAAAGGGCTCCAATTGCTTTAAACAAAGCGTCGCAATTCAGGAGCCTCCTAAGAAAAAGGGTTGAGACTGAGGCTTTCAGGTCTCATGTCCTGTGTCCTCACACCTTGTGCCCCGTGTCTCAGTTTCAATGACTCCACGACCCCGTGTGTCTCATACCCACATGGCCCAGTGCACAAGTGACCAGGTCCTCATCAGTGACCCCTACCTAGCTTTATATTTCTGAGTTAGCTGCTCGCATTGACTTCAGTTGTGCATGACTTGAATGTTGGTTTCCTGGATTGTGTTTGCAGGAGATCGTGGGTTCGATCCCGACCCCTGACGCTTGCTTTGTTTTTTGTAACCAGTCTTTCTAACCGAGGTCATTCTTGTAAAAAAAAACAGCTCAAGCCGGAGTGTTCCATACAAGTACAAAAGAGTTATTCGCATTGTCGCTTTCCCATAAATTCCGGACTACAGTGACTCATCGCACTAGGACATTGCTGCACAGCCCATAGCATCCATCTCCCACACAAGCGGAGGGCAAAGCAGAGTTAGGCCTGCGGGAGCAGAGCAGTAGAGCACACGGCCTCCTGCTTGATTGCCCGTCGAGAACTCTTGGAGCGGTCCTCCAGTGACTCAAGAATTAGGCTGTTGAAAGAAGTGGACAGATGGGAACATTGCAGGCAGGGAACCGAGCATTAAGGCCGAGGCACCAAAGAAGAAGAGAGAGTCGGCGTTCCAAAAAGTAGTTCCTCGTCTCCGCAGCGCGCTGTGCGGAGGAGGGAAATCGCCGCTCACCTCGGCTCTCCTCCGGTAGTAGCTGCAAGACTCCGAATTCCAGCTCCCGCGACGCCGACATTTCCTCCCGGATGTCGGCGAGCGCGGCGCCCAGCTCCTGCAAGAAGGTGGGGCTTGTCTCTCCCTCCTTCTCCTCAGCCGCCTCCACCTCGCCATCTCCCTCGTCCCCACGCTCCTCACCCCTCTGCTCGTCCTCGCTGGCTCTGCTCGGCGTGGCCGCTGCCCTCGTCGCCTCCACCGCGGCGACCTCCTGCCCCACGCGGGCCCTGAAGCAGCACGCCAGCTCCCCGAGCCGTGTGGCCGGGTCCCGCATCAGGACCCTGACCCTGTGGCGGAGGAGGCGCTCGGGGGAAACCAGGGCCCCCAGGACCCCGTTCACCAGACGCCCCAGGGCCGCCCTCTTCCCTCCAACCCTGGGCCCTGAAGCTGACGCGGGCCTCTCTGCCACCACGGGGATCCCGGTATAATCGTCGTCGTCATCGTCTGACGATGACGACGACGAGGTGGAGGATGCGCGCGATAATGGGAGGTGCATGTCGGGGATGGGCGGCGCAGTGGTGAGGTTGGAGTTGTACGGAGAGCCCTGCTTGGTGCTTGGGGCGGAGGGGTCACCAGGGTTTGGCTCTAAGGGGATCTCCTGGACGAGCCAGCTCACGAGCGAACTGCGCACGGCAGTAGAACTCCTCACCGACTCCTCCTCGGCATCACCACCTCCTCCACTCCTATGACTAATAACACGTTCACCACCTCCACTGTCTCGTCCACTATCACCACTACCACCACCTCGTCCTCCACGTCCACCGAAAACACCTGTTTCACTGTCACCAACACCACAATCAGCGCTCCCCCGCACTATTCCAGCGCCTCGCCGTCTGTCTCCTTGCCCCGCCTCCCTGCCGCTCCCCTCGCCACAGAGGAGGCTCTCGCAGGACCGAGACGGGGCCCGGCACAGCGGCCGCCACGTGCTCCCAGAGGCCGAGGGCTCCTCGGGGAGGTCGAGGTGGTTCCAGGACCCCGTACCCCATGCGACTCCGATGTTGCCGCCACGGGGGGTCGCGAGCGTCGACGCGCGGGGCTTGCAAGGCCGGTGCACCACCGTTCTCCGAGACCAGCAGTTTCGTGCCGCACCCAGCGCAGGTGCCGAGGTCACCGGTGGGGAGCATGAGCCCGGGGGTCGGCGGGGGTCGCAGTGTCCAACGAGAGGCTCCATGCGATCCCCCCCCTCCCCACCTCGAGAGCTGGGGAGGGAGGCGGGGTGGGAGCACAGTGTGAGACGCGGGCCAAGGCACAGAGACGTTTACATCCTTGCGTATTCTGGACCAGTGGTGGAAATTCCATGTTCTTAGAGATAAGGCCAGTATCCCCACTGTTTGTGTGAAACCCTTGCAAACGAGTTGATTCCACCCCACGGGATTGTTTACAAAAAGCATCGGCAATCAGAATCTGAATCAATTTATTTAGCCTGCAGTAGGAATCTGATGAGCTATGAAGCTCTTTTTCACAAATGTCCAGTAGGGGCGGGTCGGCAGGTTACAACAACAAAAACGATCGTGCAAAATAGAGAAAATGGTAATCAAGCCACTAAATATAAATACGTAAACATTTTTATTATATAACTCCGATTTATCAAGCTTGAGCAAGTCAGCAAAAACAACAACAGTCCCCGACCACACCAAGATAACTCCACAAAGGAGCAGTCCCTCAATACAATGGCTCATGGACGCGTGGTGCCAGGGTCGCCACCAGGGGTGGAACTCGGCCCAAGCGACCCGGAGCACCGTGGTTGTGGTGGGAGTGAAAATCAGAACCGGACTATCGGGAACAAGCTCATGGTCCACCCTAAACTTCATCCACTGCACAAACCATGGCAGTGGATGCGGATGATACCTGATGCACAAATGGAAAATGAAAAACTCTCCAGTAGTTTGCGACTGTTATTATTGACTTGCTCAAGCTTGATAAATCGGAGTTATATAATAAACATGTTTACGTATTTATATTTAGTGACTTGATTACCATTATCTCTATGTTGCACGATCGTTTTTGAAATTCCCAAAGGAATAACGACTTTGCTGAGGCTTACTACCGGTGAGTTGACAGCTTCTGTGAGTGGGGACCCAACCACCTCCAGTTCGCTGTAAGTCGGACGACTTCCCCTGCTCCCCACGTTCGCTACCCGAGATCACCCCACCCCTTCTCCATGCCTGTGGTGCCTTCTGAGTCGCAGACAGACAGACTCGCTCCAATTGGCCAAATTACCAATTGCAAAGACATCCCCCATATAGCCTTAACATAGTCTGTTGGGAGCAAGTGCTGTTAGCGAGCACTTATGAAGGACGGAACGCCACAAGAGGAGGTGGGTGGCCAGTGCCAGGCCCGACCGCCATCTGACTCCCCAGTGGCGATGTTTACACACCACACCAAGTACTCATTTGAGGCTGAGTCGACCTAGGGGAGCCCCAGGATCGGTTCAGATAATTGTCACTTGAGCGGGAATCAAACCCGGGTCGCCGGGTTCGTAGCGCAGCGCGCTAACTGCTACCCTGAGTGGCGAGCAAACACAAAAGGGACACACACACACTGACACAAACTAACACGCACATACATCGCAGCAGCAGCCGTGGCGGTGACGTCGCTACAGCGCTTGTGCCAGGCTCGGTGCACCTTGAAGGCCATGTGAAGAGCGATCATCACCACTAACGTCTCTCATAGTCATCACGAACATGACAGTGATCACCATTAACATCGTGATCATCAACACTACATCACAGTGATCATCCCAACTAACGTCACAGCGACCATCACCACTTACAGCAACAGTGACCGTTATCACCACTACATTTCTCATCATCACCACCACCACTAACATAACCACGAATGTCAGTCACCATCACCAACCACCATCATCACCACCACTAACACCATCACGACCACCATCACGGGACACGAGGCCCACCGCGCACCCGCCACTCGCCTTCAATCTCCTCCCTCAAGTGGCGGTCGAGGCGCTCAGGGTGGTGAGGGGCGACTCCACACAGAGCCCCGGGACCCCCATGGCCGTACCCGGGGAGGGGGTGGGAGGCGAGACGGGGAGGGGATGTGGGAGGAGATGGGGGGGGAGGAGACGTGAAGAGATGGGAGGAGGTGAGATGGGGAGGCGTGAGGAGACGGGAGAAGAGACACGTGAGGAGATGGAAGACGCGAGGAGAGACGTGAAGAGACGGGAGGAGACGCGAGGAGAGATGGGGGGAGACGCGAGGAGAGACACGTGAAGAGACGGGAGACACGTGAGGAGATGGGAGACGCGAGGAGAGACGTGAAGAGACGGGAGGAGACGCGAGGAGAGATGGGGGGAGACGCGAGGAGAGACACGTGAAGAGACGGGAGGAGACGCGAGGAGACGTGTGGATGGGGAAGTGACGGTGCCTAAACACGGAAAGTTCTGGTTTCCTGTTGCACTGTGCAAACAGCGCGCGTTTGTGCTGAGCACACAGCCACAACTCCTCACACACGAACCCACACGCACACGGACCAACACAAAGACAAAGATCCCCCGTATAGTCTGTAACAGACTCTAGGGGCAAGTGCTGTTAGCGAGCACCTATGAAGGCCGGCACGGTACACGAGGGGGTGGGTGGCCAGCACCACGACCTGCCGCATTTGTCTCCCCAGTGCTAGCGATGTTTACTACACACCGCAGCAGGTACTCGTTTGAGGCTCAATTGACCTAGGGGAGGCCCAGGACCGATTCAGATGATCGTCACTGGCATTGATCGTGAGCGGGAATCGAAATCAGATCGTCGGGTTCGCTGCGCTACCGTTCCCCGTACCCACACAAACGCAGTCACACACAAAACAGCAGCCGTCATTCACCACTGAGTAGCGGTGACGTCACTACGGCCCTTGTGCCAGGCTAGGTGCATCTTGAGGCCACGTGACGTGTCGAAGGCTCGCTGCTGGTGTGCGGTCACGTGACAGATCTAGGTGCCATGAGTTGACTGAGATGATTGGCAGATGCACCACCACCTGTGCCATCTTGAGTTTAGCACCTCTGCCCCCCACTATTGTTGGAGCGCGGCTGCCCCCAACTGCCCAGAAGCGACCTTCACGGACCTCAATATAGGCCGATCTGGTACCAGTCCTGGCTGATACCGGTCATCGGCAAGTTCAATTACCCTTTGTACCACATCAGCTCAAATCTCTTCTCTAGCTCGTGCCGTGCCCGTTCAGCCTCCTCTATCCAGCCAAACAGAGGCGCTTGGGCATGCGGTGGCTGGACTTGTGGGCTACATGACCCAGCCATCAATGATGGGGACTGTGTCCAGATCTTTCAAGGATCTGTGAGCTCCTCGCACAATCGAGTCTGGTTAACCCCAAGCAAGAATTGTAGGCAGGCCATCCTGAATGTTTCAAACCGGCGCAGATCTTCCATTAGAGGGGTCCACGTTTCGCAAGCGTAGAGAAGGGAGGGCATGACCGTGGCAGAGAAGACCCGAAAGCTTCGTGCGGAGCGACAGACCAGGTAACTGCAACAGCGTTACGGAGCCGATGAGAAAAAATGCGGCTCGACTGATTTGGAGCGAGACCGCCACTCCCAAACCGGAGCTGGTCATAAGTTCACTGCCTAGGTATAGAAATGTCTCTTACTCTTTACACAACTGCCCGCATCACTCATGGAGTGTTGAGAGGGTGGAGAATTTGATAACATAGAATACTCAGCCACGTGCTTGGTTTTGGTGGAGCTGATGGTAAGGCCCCATTCCTGAGTAGTTTTCTCCCGATTCTTAGTGGTGTAAGGCGAGTGGCTTTGTCTTTGTATAACTGTGCGAGCACCTATGAAGGTCGGCCCGGCACACGAAGGGGTGGTTGGCCAGCAGCACACTCGCCCGCCTTCGTTTCCCCAGTGTCGATGTTTACATTGCGCACCAGGTTCTCATTTGAGGCTGAGTCGACCTAGGTGCTTGCTAACAGAACTTGCCCAGACAGTCTGTTAAGGCTACGGGGGGGGGGGGGGGTCTAACTGTGAACTTTGCAATGCAGAGGTGCCCAGTAGCAGTCGTATTGTCCTGTATCTTGCCCTCGCTCCCTGCACGTGGGGGTGGAACACCACGTGACCCACCAGGAATTGAAAAATCGGACTTATTTTCCCGTTAAAAAATATATATAATTTATGTTTATTGGCTCGCTTAACTTTTTTTCTTTATTTTGCAATCCTATCGGTTTGTTTTGCATTTTTGTTCTTGCTCAGCTGACCCCGCGCTCCTACTGGACAATTGTTAAAAAGAGCTTCATAGCTCATCGAATTCGTCCAGTCTAAATATTCAGATTGGACATCCGGCCACACGTGGGCACATTATGCCACCCCCACCCCCAACCAAAACACAAAAAACTTTTTTAAATCGATATGACCTTTGTGCCATTATCCAAAATTATGAAAAATAAGAATAGGTTTTTATATTCTTTGGTTCTTTTCGTAAAGTCATGTAGATAGAAACATAAGAATAAAAAAACACTAATGTAGACTGTAGCCTGGTTCTTAATAGGAGTGAGCGTGCTGGTAGTCTATAATGTAGACTTATTCTGGTTAAGTAATAAAAATAAGAATTAAGAAAACCATCACCTTGCCATACATAGCAGGGGTAACCAAAAATATTTCCAAAATCATGAACAAACACAAGATCCATGTCCGATTGAAGACAGTACATAAAATTCGTGATCTGATCCCATCTGTGAAGGCTGTGAAGGACAAGTTTCCTGACATGCAATATTCTGACATCTACAAGCTAAGCTGTATCTGCGGCAGTAGTTACATTGGGGAAACTAAGCAACATGTCTTGGACCGTATTCGTGAGCCATAAGGCAGGTAGGTAAAACATGGTAGGATCAATGTTTTTGCCGTGGCTGATAATTATTTTAATGCGGCTGGCTCACGTGAAATTGATTTCTCTAAGACGATGGTACTTTGCAAGCCTACAGGCTATCAACAAAGATTCGTTCATGAAGCCATCCATAATTACAGACACAGACACAATTTCAACCGAGAAGATAGTTATAAGCTCAACAATCATTGGAAAGATGTCATCAACCACTTTGGGTCATGACTTGATTTGTGTTTTCTTGTCAACCTCCACCGTCAGCAATGTGGCTGTGTGGAGCTCGGTGCGCTGATTGCCTGGCAGCCCTTTGATTGGTGTAGACCTACTGCCGGTGTCGGGGTTTTCTCCTACATTAACATTAGCTGCGTCGCCCATGCTGCTGACACACTTGGGCCACATTAACATAAGCTGCCCCGCCCATGATGATGACACACTTGGGCTACGCCCATCTCTAAACCTTTATAAACAGTTTGCCTTTAGAGGCTAACCCCCCTTTTCCTGATGACGACCGCTTGTGTTGCGATCGAAACGTTTTTTTATTTTATTTTATTTGTATTGTTATTTTCATTTATTTTTATTCCTGATAAGAATAAATAAAATAAATAAATACGTTTTAAGTTAAAATTTTAGAATAGGTTTTACCCTTTCAATTTTTATTATAACTT